ATATAAACACGACGTTTTGTGTGTCAATTTAGATTTCTTTTTCTTTGCGGTTGCGTCGAAATAAATAACAGAGTCTTATTATCGGTACCTGAAAATAAAGAAAAAAATAATCGTACAAAAAGTTAAAAAAAAAACAAAAAACTTTAGAGTTATTTATTTTAAGGCGGAAAAAAAAAGGGGGGGGGGGCATAGTCAGGGATGAGCAGTACTTCAAATACAAGTATTTGAAATACGTATTTCAAATACTTTGTGTATTTTGCGTTTGTATTTCATTACAAATTGGGTAATGTATTTGACGTGTGTATTTAAATACTAAAACGTGGGTATTTCAAATACAATTGTAATTAAATACAATTTTGTGGGCGAAAATACATCCCTCAAATTTATCGTCACTGTCCAGAGCAGGAAGAAAACTACGCGGCACCGAATGCAGTGTCTCCCAATCAAGCACACGCGTTTAGTGACTTCGTGATTACGGTGCTAGTCCAGGGCAAGAATAGTGACGAAATCGACGTTCACAGGCAGACTGGCTAAATAAGTGCCTGTGACGACTTGTGATGCTTTCCAGCCTGTTTTCCATTCACATCCGAGTTGCAACAATAAAAAATTCTCTAGCTAGTGCCGCGCGTCTTGGTTGTCTCGGTTCTTTGTTGCTCTACTCTATACCAAAATGTAGTCGACAAAAAAAGCTGCTTGGAGCTCTGTACTTTTTTCACCTATTACGTCCAGGCTGGTTACATTTTTTGTGTGATTATATTTCTCTTACCGTTACTAGAGCCTCGCACAATAACTCCCGAGTGTGCGATGCAAAAACAAAATTAGATACCCAGAAACCCGTTGCAGGTGCCCTGAAGTCGCTGACGGAAATTTTCAGGAATGTATTTGGAAAAGTATTTGGAGGGCGACCAAATACATTTGGTTGTATTTGTATTTTGTACTTAAATGCTTTTTTTGGAAATGCAATTAGGTTTGTAATTAAATACATTTTTGACGAAGTATTTTGTATTTGTATTTCGATACATATTTGCATGTATTTTGCACATCCCTGGGTTTGAACCGGTTCGAACAAATACAAAATACTTCGTCAAAAATGTATTTAATTACAAATCTAATTACATACATTTTTGACGAGGTATTCTGTATTTGTATTTCGATACATATTTGCATGTATTTTGCACATCCCTGGGTATAGTCAAACAAGGCGAAAAATATATTCTCTCTTTAGCGGTTCGAACCGGTTCGAACCGTTATTTTCGCTCCCCGTAACTGAAGCGTAACTGAACCGAAAACCCTGAACCTGAACCGAACCGATAATAATTTCAGTTGGACACACTGCCCGCAAGTACTGGAGTCAAAATAGCGCGTGTGACCGCTTCACTGCCAAAGAGGACATCCCACCGCGCATGCGTACAGTGGTATCCTCACCGAGTAAACTCAGAGGCCCTAATTGGTCCGTTTGAACGTCCCCCCCTTCAGCTTACAGACACCGTTCGTGTCTGTAAAGCGAGCAGTGAACTCTGCGTCACGAGCAGTGAGACGCGCGAACGTGGCGTTGACGCGATGTAACATAACGACGACCTGCCTAGGACGGCTGCTACACGCAGGCGGGCAATATTGTTGGGAAACAACAGCTTTGGTTCCAAAAACAACACCACGTGCGCGCTAAGAGCGTCGACTCGTGACTCGGTGGCGGCCATAGCTGTCTACTCGACTGCTGAGCGTGTGCTGGCGGCGAGCTTTTATAGTTCTTTCGCAACGTGCATTCCACAGCACCAGGATTGCCGGTCGGTCTTAGCAGCCTATTAATGCGAGCCCGCTCTGAGCATGCGCTCTAAACATCGCCCTCAAATATGGCACCCAGTGAATACCCCCTACATCTGCTGGACGCCATATTTGAGGGCGTTGTTTACAGCGCATGCTCAGAACGAGATGACATTACTAGGCTGCTAAGACCGACAATCATGATGGTTCGAAATGCACGTTGCAAAAGAACTGCGGAAGCTTGCCGTCTGTACGCACTCAGCAGTCGCGCGCACAACCATGGACGCCAGTGAATATACCGCACTACCGGAGCCTTTGAAGCGCGCGCGCTTAAAAACATGCATCAAAGGGTTCGGTAGTGCGGTACGCGGAACACGCTAATGGTCTACTAAAGTTCCCCAATAATCGCGCGTCGAAGCACACGCAAAGATTGCCGGTTCCGATGAGGCCATAAGCAAATTCTCGAGACGGCATCCGTGTACGCGTGAAACACCGGCGGCTGTTTACCTCAGCTGCCTAATAACTAAGCCATCGCGTGTGTCTGTAAAGCAGTTACCGAAGGGCGCGCCTTTTCTGACGCTTTCGTAAGAAGTCCGATGAGAAGCCCCAGATTTGCCTTATGATTTTACACCCTGAGGAAATCCCAGTAAGCCTCCCGAAGACATCACCGGTTTCTCGTATTTTTTAGGTTAAAAAGCTAGACTGTGAGTGGAGCAAAAGCCAACAAATGCGCTAATTTTGAGAAATTTGATATTGAATCTTATGCGTTTAGTCTCTGCATTCAAAGTTGGTTTCCGCTAAAATAATTTCGACAATAAGGATCTTGTGTTTCTGAAAACGGGGGCCAAATAGCTCCTGCAAAAAGTACACGTCGGACAGAAAGAAAAGTTTGATGTCCTATTGGTTTCTGCAAAGAGCCTATTTTGGGAAAATTAACAACGTATGGGCATAAACGAAAACCATTCAACTGCGCACCATTACAAAGAAACGTAAGCGAAGCAAGGACTTTTGCAACGAAGGTGACAGCTTGGTTATTGGATGCCGTTAATTTTTAAAATAAAGCACAAAAAACTCAATAAACATGTCAATCTTAATCTTTAACAAATACAAAAAAATCACGACCAAACCACCTATTAAAAAAAGACGCGCTTCATTGTGTGTGTGCCTTATTTTACTGGTCCTCGCTTTTAATCCTGAAATGTACCACCATAACCTCCTCTATCAGTCAGCCAGGTGGAGCCATCAGAGTGAGAGCTCACGGTTATACCCTGTCTCATTGTAAATTGGCCAAGGGTGAATGATAAGCTCCGAATTGCGTGCCGACGGCATCAATATGCGCTACGTATACGAGCGCAACGCACATATATTGGAGAAAAAGCACACTCCGGTGATATGTAGTCACGTTCCGATTGGCCCGCCAGGGCTGTAGCTTCCGCCGTACTGGCATGTTATGCGATCACGGCTTCTTGGTCTACCCAGTATTCCTTGCTTCAGACACTAGGCTAAGCGGCGCCATCAGAAAAATAGCCCGCGATGGAACAATGCAGCCGCCACTCCCAGGCATACCCAATATTTCTTGTTTCAGTCGCTAGATAGCGCCAAACCAAACAGCACTGCAAGTTGCTACGGTACTCTATACTCAGTATAGAGGCGGCTATGATACCACCAACTAGCCCAAGTGAATACCCTTCTACAGGAAATACCAAGTTTTAGAGCGCAGCTCTTAGGCGCCCGTTTCCGGCTTGAGCGGCGTCGCCGTCGCCGCCGGCGTAACCGCGACCCCCCCCCCCCCCTCCCCCCCCCCCCCCTCAGTACCCTTCCCTCCTCCTCCTCAAGAGCTGCGCTCTAATTCAGCGTCACAGGGAGTTGTAAACGGCTTTCATTCTTTTTCTCGCATTTTCCCCCTAGAAATCTACACACACGAAAATTAAGTATGATAAATGCACCACCTAAAGAGATCTTTGTAAAAAAATTTCACTGCATTCCGTTTGTTAGCTTATTTAGCACCATCTAGATAAGTATGGATGGATGCTAACGACTGTACCCTTCATAACAGACGGTAGCTTGCACCACCAAGCCTAAGTCTTAGGCTAGGCGGCGCACCATGATGGTGCGCTTTTGAGTTTGTATGACTGATTCCATCAGCTCGTAGCGTCGGCTGCGTCTGGACTTCAGGTGAAACAAAGTATAGTAACACTGCTTTAGACTCAGTCTTCCTTGTTGTATAGATGCAGCATAAAAAAGCATTGCTTGGGAGCTGAACAATTGAACAAATCATTTAGCCCCGTTGAGTATGCTTCTCCTTCAACACATTGGCACTGCGGGAAAACATGACTTGCGGCACTAATGGAGAAGCAGGCTCCCAGGCAAACAAAGTTGCCACTTTTTTTCCATAGTACAGCCAAATCTAAACCTTCGAATCGACATTTTGCACATTGATTGGGCTACATTTATGAGAGGCGTCTGATTCACAGTGTTGGGAAGTACTCAATGTACTATTTTAAGTATATTTAAAGTACTTGTACTTTACTTAAAGTATTTTTTTTCTGGTACTTTGGGAGGAACTACAACTCCCGACTTCGAAGTACATTCCCCAAAGTTGGTCTATAGATTTGTCTCACAAAATAATGCTCTGTCAACTCTGAAGTCACTTGACTTTGTACAATATTCGCTGCCATTTCCAAACGGGCATCATTAGAGATTCTGTTAAAAAGTACTTCTAGTTTACTTTGAAAGTATTGTATTTACAGTACTCCACTTGAAGTAAAGCATCATGAAAGATTGTGTGAAGTACTTGTACTCTATTTTGAAGATACATTGTACTTATAGTACTTCATTTCAAGTACTTTGTACCTGGTGTACTTACTGCTTTTCTTGAAATACACACCCTCTCATTTACTTTACTTGGAGTACTTTTTATATGTACTTTATCCAACACTGCTGATTTAGCATTGTCATACAAGCTACCATATAAGAATAATTTCACAATTAGTTAAGGGTGTGCAAATAGTTTTCCAAATTAAATAGTGCAATGTCATTCCTAGTTTCAACACTGTAGAAAAGTGTCTGTTTTTTGTTTCTTGCACTATAAAGGGGGTGAATACTGCAGAACTGTTTCAATCATACCTATGTTTCACCCAACACCACAATATTCTAGAATTTATATATTTTTTCTATCCCAACCAAATTGGGTTTTCAAATATCTAATTTCATCAAAGGAAATAATAGCGAAAGTCCAGTATATTATTACTATTTAATTCTTCCACGAAAGCTAAATCACATGGTTGGCGTTCAAGCCTCGTGTGGCAGCATACACGTGTAGCAGCACCACGAAAAATACCGACTGCGATGTGTCATGACTATTTAACCAGCAATCAATTCCATGAGAGTAAAAGCAAATGTTGCTCTTGTTCAAGGAGACAACATATCTGTATCGACACAAAGCCAACACACACATCTGAGCCTCACTGACACCTAATAAAATTTGGCAACACGACGCAATCCCAGGCAGTAGAGATTCACGAAGCCGACGCCTGGTGCGCACACTCTCGGCGACGGCTCTGCGCAGTCCGTCCAGAAACGAATACCAACGATGTCAAAATGACCACAAAAACTACATCGGGTATCTCTGGTTCAAAGGCGTGCCCGACTCGTCACGCAACAAAGTGTCGATGCCTAAATATCACGCAGCGGTCTTGCATTTGCTGCCACGACTACAGTTCCTGGAACGCGTCTCCGAGTGATGCATTTAGCGGTGCCGAAGCGGTAACGAATGGCGTTGCAGTAGCCGGAGCGTCAATCTGTCGGATGTCGCGGCCCTGGCGGTTGGTCGCAGGAGTTCCGGCGAAAAAGACGAGCAAACACCGGCGTTGCTGTCGTTGCGACGTCCCGACTCGTCGCTGCAGAAGCTTTTGTGGAGGGATGAGCCGACGGCGAGTCGCAGCAAGACAGGCGTCTGTTGCACCTGCCTCTACACCTGCACTACCGGCAAAATTGTGACAAGCAACCGCACGACACTTTCGTGACGGCCTCGGTCGGATATCAAGGGACCTCATTCGAGGACGCGTTAAACAGAGCAGTCGGAGAGACACGCTCCAGGTGCCACACCACAACTGCGATACGTCATGTTCTTGTTGTTGGCTTTTTTCCTACAAAAAGTGTCACCAGGAAACAAACTGATGACCATCCTTCAAAACAAGGGGCGCACCATGACGACGACCAACCCGGCCGCCGTTGTCGTCTCGGACGTCTCAGGGCACTATGACTTTGATGCGGTGAGACTTCTGACTGAAGGCAAAGTTGACACCCATGTCCCAGCACTGCCGTAGCACGGTGTCGTCCAGCTGCTTCTTGGAGGCCGCGTGGTGCCACTGCGAAAGGTCGCTGCCGACGTCGGCATCTTCCGGCGGTGGCTTGGTCTGGATGCCGTTCACGCAGCGCCGGCAGGACAACGACTCGTGCGTCGAACTCAGCACCTCTTTGTCGAGCCTGGTGTGGAAGACGCGTTTCAAAATGTAAGCATAATTATATGCTAATCTCGAAGGAACACAATATGGTGTGCGGATGATTCTGAATCAAAGTTGCTTTTAATGGAAGGTATGTTTACTAACTACTTTGCATCTCTTATCATATTAATAGGGTAAAAGGCAGTAGCCAATTTTGCAGAGAACAATACAGTCAACAAACAAATCTTGGTTTTCACCGTATTTCTCTTGAAATTGAAGTGTCATTAAAACTACTCAGTGTGGTAGAGAGTGCACTTATTCAGGGCTCCAGCCTAAATGGTAAGGTTTAATGCTCCTTGTATTTATGTCTTAGTAAACAGCAAAAAAAGTGCCAACGTTATGTACAAACTAAATACCCATTCCACCATAAAGCACAGAGCTAATTCATTGCTGATACAGCAAAGGTGAGTCGTTTGAGTGGTGCTTTCTAAACTTTCACACTTGCAGTGATGTGATTGGCCTAAGCCATTTTGGAGCACCTTTCGTAGCAGCCAAAACAGTGTTTTGGAGCAGCAAATGTGCCTTTTGGAAGCAGCCAGGACAATGTTTAGAAGCAGCAAAAATGACTTTTGAGGAAAAATATTCTTAGAAAAAAAAATATTCCTTTTAACGAAGGGCCCTTCGTGCTTTGTTAGGTTCTGATGCGTCTTGTTGCAACGGAACTCGCTGCTTGTAGTTTTAGTGCTAAAACATCCCACAAATGTACAGTGCTGTAGGCATTGCCGAGCAATCCCGAAAAACCGCTTGCCACCGTTTTACTGGTTCCCGACGTGCCACATTTTCGGCCAAAGTAAGCAAACGTAAAACAATGGATTTGCAAGCATCCCGGCTGGTGCCTCTGTCGTGCAATCACGTTCGCATTCCCTTGAGGGCGACTTCGGCAGGCTTGCAGTTGCACGTGCTTCGTCGCGCGAGCGGAGACAACGGCTGTTCGATCGAAACCAAGACCATATGCCACTCTGCTCCGTCGCCAACTGATTCCCAAAATTGTGTACAAAATGTAACTGTCGGGCAGACGACACAAAAACGTCCAGCGGCGCGTGCTTGCCAGGCCGCCAAACCAGGTGCAAGCTAAACACGCACAAAAAGAAAGAACCTGAGCACGTCGATGCAAGACATCGCGAGCCAGGGTCAGAAAGTTCTTGGAGCGCTTTGTGCAATGACTGAGCTCGAGACAAACAAGCGCGATGTGCGGATTCAGCGTTCATACACTACCTTCTTTGTGTTAGCTCTCTCCTCTTCATCAACTTTCTTTCGCGGCAGATTTTTCACGTATTGGGATCCCTCTCGAAAGGAAGCCCACCGAGAGAAACTTACGTAATCAATACTTCGTCACAGCACTCTTTGAGGTAAAGAGGGATTTTTGTAGTAAAGTATAATTTAAATAAGAACAGGAATGTTGATGAACATGCAGCCGTACTTAGTTTCGTTTCAGAAAGCGCCATATCTGCAGCGACGTGGGGACGGCAACACCCGACGTCGCACGACCACGGTGACTGGAAGGCAGGGACCATATATAGTTTTCCCATGGCCATTGTTTTCAGGAGCGAGTGCTTCAGCTCACAAAGTCATTTCCACCAGACAAAAACGTGGTTTCATTTCACAGCACGACGGCATGGCAGATACCCGGCACGGTAGCGTCGGAGCGTCTGCACACACTCGCGTCTTTCGTTGAAAATATTTAAACAAAAAACCCGAGATGAGACCCACGAGAGCGCGAGACGTGAGACGGCGGGAAAACCATACAAGACAGGATGCACGGTACTCTGTGTCGGGTGGCCGCTTGCACCACACAACACAGGCATGCTCAATTACGGTGCTCAGTGTAGTTTCGGTTTTGAAAGGTGACCGAAATTGGTGTTTTGGCGCAGGCTTGGCGCAGATTGCCCATATTTTGGCAAAATGTAGCAGGATGTAGCAGGGTTAGCTCTTTGGCGCAGTTTGGCGCAAATGGCGCAGCAATCACATCACTGCACTTGAAACACTTGCAAGGATATGACACAGTGCCTATGACTTTTGAACATCTGAGCATTTTTGACAGTGTGCACAGTAAGCACTGTAAAAGTACCAAGCATGCTCAAATACAGCGACTTTCTAAGAAAGAACTTATATCCCAGAAGCATACTCAACACCAAGGGTGCTTCTATAGCCAGCACGAAATTTCAGGACCTTGCAGTGGCAAACTCAGTATTGTAAGTTGAGAGATGGGCTGAGTGTGCTTAAACTACATGTCACAGTGTTTGCCTTTACCACTAAGCGGATGCTTCATTTAAACTAACAAAAATTGCTGCTACATTCATTCTTTTTAGTATTTTTAATACCTAAATGCATATGCCAGCATTACAAGCTTTGCATATCTTTACTCTGTTGTAAAAATTAGTTGTGGTAAGCTTGTGACGACAGTAGAGGCATTTGAAGAACAAGTATGATCACTGACTTTTTTTTTTTTGTAACTTGACTATCATAGTGGGGAACTTTGCTATGGACGGATAGATGTTAACGACTGTACCCTTTATAACGGGCAGTAGCTTGTGCCACCTACCTGAAGAGGTCCCTGAGGTCGGCAGCGCTAAAGTGCCGGGCCACGTCTTCCTCCGAGTCCACCACGCAGCTGCTGAGGGCCTTCTTGTGGGTCTGGCGCTGCAGGATCTTCTCCTCGATGCTCCCAGAGCTCACCAGGCGGTACACATAGCAGGGCTTCTTCTGGCCGTCCCTCCAGATGCGTGCCATGGCCTGTGCGTCGTTGGCCGGGTTCCAGTCGGGGTCAAACATCACCAGCCTGCAAGTGTGGATTGACAGTCAGACTAAAGGAAACAGATTCCCGAAAACTGAATCACCAGCGACTCCTTCATGGTCCCTGATTTGCCTGAAAAGTTGCTAAACACATCAATGAACAACGCTGAAATAGTATCCCAAATATAAGGTCAAAATATTTCTTTTTTGCGACTTTACTGAATTTACAAATTTGGTCCTGTGTTTTTCAAACTGAAAGTGTCTACTGGCAACAACGAAAAAGTGATGCCAGTGGAAGGCATCAGTTCACTGTTTGGACTGTAGATTTTGTTCCCAACCAATTTCAAGCAGTTTTGTGGTGTCAAATGAATACCTTGGAAGCTTGCTCCAGTACCCACCCACCAGCACGAAATAAGTTCTTGGCATAGTCTATTTTTTAGACTGGTTGCTTGAGTGGCAAGCCGGCCTTTCACTGACATCATGGCAATAAAAAGTGTGGGTGAACTTGTATGTTGGCTTTTGCAACATTTTCATTTGCCAATTTCGCAACAACTATTATGAATTTTGCGATACTTAACAGCATAACAGAAAGGGTGAACGCAGGGGACTCAAAAAATATAATTAGGGTACCCAAAACAATCACCAGAGTACCCCTTTAAAAAGACACTGAACTTACAAAAAGCATTTCTTTTAAGTGCCTGAAAAAAAAAACTTTTAGTGCAATGTATTTATTGCAAGACTCAATAAGTGATTTCGAAAGATGCTTCAATTTAAAAATAAACATCTCTAAAAAAAAAAAATTTTTTTTTTTTTACATTTTGGGATGTGTTTTAAATAGGTACTGAAAACAAAACTGTTTTTGTGGCTTCTCTGTTTTTTTAAGAAACAATGAGTGGAACTCACTTATTCGAGGAGTCATTGTTTCCCTCCTGGATAGCCACAATTAATGTGCTGCCCCATAGTAGCACCAACACGTCAGAAAAAGTCCCAGATCCGTAGACTTCGCCGCCTCGCATTTCTGAATATGGTACTTTGATTTTATGTATTGCAACAAAACCGGAAATAAAAACATTACAGCGATGCCTGCACTCTAACGACATGTCTGCGTTAAAAATAAGAATGCAAAGCGTGTTACATATCTATCTAACGAGCTACTGGCAGCAGACCTCAGAAGCAATTTTCATCGCACTAAAATCGTTCCTTTAGAAAAATAACAAATCCTACACGGGATGACTGCAGCTGAAGTGTTATGATTCTGACATATGTCAAACTTGTTTGTCCTGCTTGTAGCTCTGTCTCGGGGATACAAGCTCTTAGATCAAGTCTCAATATGCCTTGTAGCTTATTCTTCATACATACGGCTGCATATCATGCAGTTTCATCTTCACGCATCCACGTTGAAACAACATTCGAGGCTCGACCAATTACACCACAGGGGGGGGGGGGGGGGGGGAGGGGGGGGGGGAGTTATGACCATCATACTCCTAGCGGCTAAGTCAAGAACTAAACCTATAGGGACAACAACAAAAGGAATTTTTTGACGCAAAGCTCGGTTGACATGGCTGAACGCGGCTCATGTATAATCAGCGAAGCACACAAGCTGAACGCAGCACTCATGCCTAATCTTTGCAGGGTAGAAGAAGATGACGCAAAGAATTCACAGGCCTTTCATTGGATAAACGCCAAGCTCCGTGAAGAATAAGCTGAACGAAGACCATTCCACTCTCGAGCGTACCTCGCCGTGGCTACGGTCAAGGGCCCAGACCAAGTTGGACACACCTGTTTGCGCCAATCAGGTTGAGGCCGCATCCGCCAGCCTTGCTGCTGAGCATGAATGCAAACTCCGGACTTGAGGGCACATTGAAGGCCGCCACAATCTTGGCCCGCTTCTTGATGGTCATGCTGCCATCCAGCCGAAAGAATCCGTAACCACGCTCCCTGCACAGCCGCTCGAAGACGTCCAGCGTCTGTGTGTAGTTGGAGATGAGCACCACCTTGTCGTCCGTAGTACTCCGAATTATCGCCAGGAGGCAGTCGAGGACCTTCAGCTTGCCGGAAAGCTCGGGCATCACCGTGCTCGCCTTGAACGTCGGGCCGCTGTCCGGGAAGCACTCCCGCACCAGCGACGGATGATTGCACAGCTTCTTGAGGAGCGTGATGGTCGCCAGCGGCGTGCCGCCCCTCATAGACGCCAGCCTGTCGTACCATTCCCGCTGGATCGACGTCATGGCGCAGCAGACGATGTGTTCCGTCTTCACCGGAAGGTACCTGGACAGCAGCGCGTTGGTGCGACGGATCAGGCACCGGTTCACGATGGTGATCAGTTCCTCGAGCCGCTCCTGTCCCCTGGCCCTCTCGGCGTCGCTCGAGCACGAGTCCCGGCTCTTGAGGATGGGCAGCTCGAACTTGCGCTTGAACTCCTGCGCCGTGCCCAGTATGCCGGCATTCACGAAGTGGATCAGGCTGAAGTACTCCAGCAGGTCGTTCTGGATCGGAGTGCCGGACAGCAGGATGCGGCGCTTGGTCCGGAGTCCGTTGAGTGCGTGGTACGTCTGGTTCTCGCAGTTTTTGAGCCGGTGCCCTTCGTCGCAGATGACGCAGCCCACTTCGCCGCTCTGCAGCGCGCTGGCGTGAAGTCGGAATGTCTCGTACGACAGGATCAAGACCGGGGTGCAGACGCGGCGGCCGAAGGCCGCCATGAAGCCTCGAATGTGGGCGTCGATCTCGGTCTTACTCCCGCTTTCGATCGCCACCGATCTCACCCTATCCCCGAGCCATTTCGACAATTCGTTATGCCAGTTCTTAACAAGGCTACTCGGCGTCACGATGACTGCCTTGGTGATGGTTGGCGTCGCGAACTCCGGACTCTGTCGGAGCAGGGTCCAGAGGAGGGTGATGCACTGAAGCGTCTTGCCCAGTCCCATCTCATCGGCCATGATGCAACCGTAGCTGCCTTCGATCTGTTTCCCGGTGACACAGTCCCACATGAACTTGACGCCCTCCCGCTGATGAGGTCGAAGCACTTGCGTGAGAACCGGGTCGACAACAACGTGCACTAAGCGACTCGTGGTCGATATCTGTTCGTGGTTCGAGAGCGGGGGAGGCGCGTACAGAACGAGCGCATTCTCCTCGTCCGGATCGTGCAAAGGTCGCGGACCTGAGGTTCGTTTGAGGCCCAGCGATCGGCTCTGGAGGCTCGGCACGTAGTTTGGGATGGGAACCTTGTAGGGTTTGGAGAGGAGCGAGCGGATGAATGCTTCGTGTTGGCTCAGCTGAGAGCTGCTGCGGCAGCAGTCATGCAGGAGTCGGGGCTCTTCGTCCGCGTCATCGTAGTCTTGGATGCACCTCCGTTTGGCGACCTGACTCGGGGCGAAACAGCGACGCATTCTTGGGCGGGCATGGGAGGCGCACACGGGTTGAACTTGATCGAAATTATTATTTATCTGAGGAACGATTCGCTTCCTTCACAAATTGTTTTACGCGCGAAATCGGCCGAGCACCGCCATCATACGATGTCCACAGCGAAGCGACTGATCGCGCCGGTGGCAGTCTCGGAAGTTGTTAAAGCCAGTTTAATATTGCGGAAGTATTACGTGATGTTTATAGAAGCGCTAAAACTCGCGTAATAAACTCGCAAGGAAAGGTTAAAATGCTGGATTGTTTTAAATTATTATTAAACGTTTGTCCATTTTCACTTTTCTGACGCCAGGGGAACAACGGCCAGAAAGGCCAGAAAGATTGAAAAGCTCCAACGCTGGTTACGCTCCAACTGAAAAAGTGGCGTCGGGACGAAGCTTTCTGCGTGGTTTCCACTTTTTTCTTTTTCTTTCGGTGTCTGTCCCATTCAAACGGTGCTTCTGCGGCGATGGCATAATAGCCTGATGCATTTAGTTTGTGCCAAAGAATGGATAGCGATTCTCTCAAGCTAGAAAGACGAGCCGTGAAGCGCATCATCGACGCAAAACTCAAGGCACGACCGGGTGGGTCTTTTCTTTCTTTTTTCTCTCGATATTTCGGTCTTTTTTACTTCAACCCATCTCACCGCTTTGACAGAATTTAATCTCAATTTAAAAAAAGACATTCAGAGCTGTCGATCGTGTTGGGAAGAGGACAGAAAGACGTCATCTCCGTGTTTAAAAAAACCACGCCGAGATTCATAGTCGGTTAGAAAAATCTTCGAGTCAAATTCTACGCCGATCGGGTTATGTTTTGTAGAAATACGGTCGAAATTCGTGGTACACCCGGTTTCTTGGTTGTCGATCTATTCCGAGGTGCAGCAGTGGGTGCATGGGCCGCTCCGATCGCTTCTACGGTATGCTGTTTCATCCTTTGTCGTGGTATTGAGGTTTACTAATGCGTAGCACTAATTGTCCCGGTGTTGTATCCTAGACTGAGGCCATGTAATAGCAATACATCGATATTTAAGTCAACTTCGTGTCACTGAAACAGGACTGACTGTCTCGTTAATTTTATTTGGACATTATTATATCCCTTGATACTCGGAAGAGAGGTTGATTGCGGACACGCCTAAGTGGGGATTTTTTTTTTTGTATTTGTTAGCTAGAGTTGTTTGTCGTATTTACGTGTTATTTTAATTCTCAGTGTTTGTTAATTGTTATATGTCATTCTTTTTTTAAATCTCATTTGCGGTACGCTAAACATGGACGCCTCACACCGAGCAATTTCATGCCGATTTGAGTTTTTCTCTGTATTTCCGGAAGCAAGTTGTAGGTGTTTGTTGAAGTCATTAACCCAGGAAAATACATTTATTTATACCTTAACACTTGCATTACTGCAGAACATTTTCGCGAGTAAACATTTTTACAGCTGTAATGACCTGAGGTGGCATTTCTATTGCAAACGGAAATGTGTGGACCTTTTCCGTGAAAGGTGTCCAAAAATATGTTCTGTCCGAAATTTAACATTGGTAAAAGAGTGCCTGCACTAATCGTCTAGAAATGTTTTCATACCTACGGTCACCATTTGGATATAGCGCTTCCAGAGCTTCTGCATACCAGAAGCCTGCATACCAGTAACTTTTCATTTCATAGCTCATTTAATGCATTTTGTAACACCAATAAAGTGCTGAGAATTAGTCTTGGTTTGAGATTTTCCTCTGCACGGTCACTTTCACAAAATCTAACTTGATATTCCATGATTCCAATCTGATCTAGTCTTCGAAAGCGTCAGGCCGACGAAAATGGGATTGGTTACCATATTTATCCAGATTGATTCTTTTAGATGTGTTTCCAAATACCTTGTGACCCCCCGCCTTGCCTCAGCTTGCTCACAAGTCATTGAGGATGTTATTCTCCACAAACTATATGCTTGTAAAGTGCCAGCGACTTCTACATTTTATTGGAAATAGACAAAGATTTGTATACAACATGTATAATGTGGAATATAACGTTCTAGACAGCTTGCTTTGTCGAACAATGCCATTGATGCGCAGAACCGGCGGTAGCACTGTGTTTCATGCTTCTGGTTGTTTCTGTTTTGACTCTGTGCAGCTGCTTGTTTGATCTTTGAATGCGGCCGACGGAACGGTAGGTATAGAACACTGTCAGCAAAAAGCTGCATGGTGTAGTTATTCTTCTTACACTGGCATTGTTTTGTCAAAATGCTTATTACGGCCTAGTCTTGACGTGGTTTCTTGTCTTTACATTAGTGCACTAAAAGGACTCTGACAGAGTATTCATGCTTGCCGAGGTTTTTATTTGGACAAGCCTCTATAAGAGTCCAACTACCCAGAACACAATTTGTGGATCGACATTGGTTTTCTTTCCACCCGGAAACAAACGGTCAAGAATTGGCCGGTTTCAGTCGCGCTCACTCTCTTTTCTAGTCTCACATGGTGTTCAATAAATTATGTGTAATATTAAAAATAGAGGAGAATACAAACCCCTATTTTGTGGCCTCCTAGAAGCTGCAAATACAGTGATAGAAAAATGTTGCACAGATCACATGAAGTACAAGTACACGTCATTCTCAATACGGTGGCGCACAATGGATCAATGTTGCGACGGACGTGGGGCCACTACTTTGGAACTGTCGTTTGGGGTACCGGCCAATCAATCTTAAAGTATGGAATATCCGGAAGGGATCTCAGTGCGAAACAATCGCAGAACAAACGGTGCACGCAACTTCGTCATCTTCTTCACATGCCTGAGAAGCGGAGAAAAAAAAAAAGAAAGTGATCCAATGACTTCCCGCCTTGTTGCTCGTGTTTCGGTTTCGAGCAGTTGTTCTTTGTTTGCTTTATTAACAATATATGTGACCCTGTAGAAAAATATTGATTAAGTAGTCTCTTGAGACCATATTAAATCGCCTGGTAAAATGTTTTTGTGGAGTGTCAGTGTCCCTTTAATGCTAAACGCACTGCATTATGCTGTATTTCTAAAAATAGATGTGCCTCCTGCTGTTCTGCTGCAATACACTTTTAGCAACGCAGTTCACCTCTCTGACAAACTGGGCTTCCTATTGTTTTTTTCTGTGCCATGTTGGTTTTCTGTGTTGTATGAGCAAACGCATCCTGTCGTTTGGACGTTTCGAAGGAAGGGACTGTAACATTTGAATGGTGCAACCTTTCATTTTTGCTGTGCTTTGTTAAGTTCCACCAAAGCTATGTTTGTTTGACCAACGTGAAGTGTACATTGCTTCAAACTTTATTTGCTGGCACACAATGAAACAGTTTCGGGCCATTTTATGAAAGAAGGTTGCAGATGAGCATGTAAAATACACGCTCCCAAAGCTTTTTCGCATTTACAGGTGACCACTAGGCTCTTTCGATTTACCAGCAACTCCTATACTGGTGTAGAAAGTGTAGTGTGGTGTACTTCTAGTTGTATCTCAATGCACGTACCGGAAGCACAGTGCCCTACACTTTTCTGCACCAGTGCAGTTAAATCGAACGAGCCAACTGTAAGAGAGAGTTTAATGGCTGGTTGAGAAGATTTTACTAAAAAACAACCAGTTACTACTTGTTACTGGCTACTTTCCTCACATACTTCCCAGGGTGGAGGGTTTAGTAATGTACTCAATTGCTTCTGTGTTTTTTCTTCTTGTATATTCGGTAGTTTTAAGGGGCATTGAAACGTTTTTTTCTCGATTTCGCTAAACACTGCTAAACATAATCGGCGATATTCACAATATATAAGGCGTGCATTCGCTTTACCAAACACATTGCAGAAAATCTAGACAAAAATACCCTGTTTCATCATGCAATGTGCAGTTATTGAAGAGGAGATCGAGCTATATGGGGCATTTTGTCCAGCTTGATTTCTTTGGAATTGGTGTTTACCTGACGCAAGGCTCGTGGACTTGGTTCTTTACGTCATCTTCCTCGACGAAGCGCGGGGCACAGTTTAACATAAAAAAATGTGTCGACAATAAACGACGTGGCGTTGGCGGGACGCGACAGGCCGGATCTGTCCGGAAAGCAGTTGTCAGAGGATGCAAACTTGACCCACTTGGGCCTTTATGCCAAGCAGGTGCAACAATTATTCACAACATTGTTCACGCAGGCCAGAGTGGCTACAAAAGGGCCCCTTCTCGGACGATGGGAGAATGTCGTTCGGCCACGTCAGCGTAGCGATACATTGTCGTTGTTGTTGTCCCCGTGGGTGTAGTTCTAAAGTTGGCCGCTCGGGGCGCAGCAGTTGGATCTCCTTCCCAATGGTCACCGACCACTGGGGAGACTCAAGGCGCGGCAAGTTTCTTGTCGTTCTACGGCCGACGAGGTTACGGCATTAGCCGAAGAAAGAGACCTGGGCGTAATAGCCACGCCGTGCGTTTCTTAAGTTGTCGCTGACTTCGCTGAAATTCTAACCGATTATTGTTTTGTCATCCCTTTCACTTGACACTTTTCTTTGTTAGCATCTTGTTCGAGTCGTCTTCACTGCGTGTTTCAGAGCTGGTGGAGAAGGATGGTGACGGCTGGACCAAGCTGGGCTACGCAGACAACTTTGACCTGGACATGGCGTCGCTTAGGGACGACGTGGAGCGCATCCACGTCAGCCGCGTGCCCATGGACGAGTTTGTCGAGAAGTTCGAGAAGCTGTACAAGCCCGTCGTCATCCAGGGCGCCACCGACAACTGGAAGGCCCAGTACAAGTGGAACCTGCCCGTGAGTGGACCTCGTCAGAGGCTCTGTTACGCGTTCGAAGCTTACGCATGTATGAAGCAAACATGCCTTGAACATGTGCTCACAGGTAATTCTGTCATCATGTCCGCAGCTAAGCAAAATGGCCCCATAGGGTCATACAAGCAGTATAGCTCCTGTGGGGCTATATTGCCTATATGACCTTGTCAGGGTGTCATGTGACGCTTTGACATTATGTGATTTGGGACACCACATAGATATTTTAGCATCCTGAATTAATTCATTTTTTTTCTTATAAAAACTATGCTTAGAAAACTGAAGCCAATATTTGTTTCATGCTTTTTGAATGTGAAGAGCTTCTTCCACGTAAAGCTAAGCTAACCCTGAAAATGGTTTCAGGGTTCCTTTTAGCAGCACACTCTTTCTGCTTATTTAAACAAGTTTGTGTTTTTTTTATATCCCCCTATGTTGATTCGACCGGGGAACAGTGCAGCCTTTGGTGGTCTTGTGCCATTGGAACCTCAATCGTCATCGTCACTCCTTTCTTTCAAAGCAGCGGCTGGCTAGGAAGTACCGCAACCAGAAGTTCAAGTGCGGGGAGGACAATGACGGCTACAGCGTGAAGCTCAAGATGAAGTACTTTGTGTACTACATGGAGCATAACCGGGACGACAGCCCCCTCTACATCTTTGACAGCAGCTTCGGAGAGGTGAGGTCGTCACCCTCTTTCTCCCCACATTGTCAGCCCTCCATCGCTGCCATTTTCAACCCGACAACTTTTTTTGGCAAAGTTTAGCCGCCCTCGGTGCTTGTATCCGCCCAACGTACTTCTGTCTCCAACCAAGTGTTTCCTAATCCCCATTTCAATGCGTAATGCTTTAGTCGGCGGTCCACACCTGGTTGCGCTGCACGTTGCAGTAAGTACGGGCGTTGTGTTTCGGTACTTCACGCACTGGCCGGTGGGCGGTGTTGCCTCGGTTATAGTTGCGCGACTGATTTAGTAAAGGTGCTGCGGTTTAATGGCAGTAATGGAAAAATCGGACGTTGGGAATGTGAAGGTAAGCACGCAGAGGTTATCTGACTGAAGTCGAAGGAGGGTTGAATGATTTTCTTATTTTCCTCCGCGATCCGTAGTGCGGAGGGTGCAAATCCCGGTTGCGAAAAAACGCGTCTGCCGCGCTGATAAAATTTTTTTTAAAAACACTAGCGTTAAAAGTTGTTTTTTTCAAATCATTTTATATTCATTTTGTATGTGTACAGTTAGATAAATATTAGCAGTTAAAATTTAGAACCAGGGCTGGGAGACTCAAGTCGCTGCCCAGTTCAAACTAACCTCGGCAGCACAACTCCGGAGCTTCGATTTGTCTTTGGGGAACGCTTCCCCATACCCTGACGAAAAGATTCTAGGCCAGGTAATCCAATGATCGCGCTATGGGACTGCAGCCAACCTTTCGTTGGGCTGGGCCAAGGGTGCGCGTTTGCGCCGTTGCCTTAGCTTAGACGGCGCATGTTGTTCCAGCACCCCCGGCGTAAGAAGCTGCTGGAGGACTACCAGGTGCCGACGTACTTTGCGGACGACCTGTTCCGCTACTCCGGGGAGGAGAAGCGTCCCCCGTACCGCTGGTTCGTCATGGGCCCCGCTCGGTCTGGCACGGGCATCCACATTGACCCCCTGGGCACCAGCGCTTGGAACGCCCTAGTGCACGGCCACAAGAGGTACAAGCCCTTATAACCACGCTCGGTTCTAAAAGTTCCGGGACTTAATTCTCATCAACAGGTTTTTCGTCGTCTGTTTCGTGAAAAACGAGAAATTGTTTGTGCGATCTTGCTTTAGATGCGTTGAAAAATCGAAACTTGTGCTTCAATGGGCAGTGGTGGTCTCACAATGTCCAAGGTTTGGGTTATCACATGGTACGAACGATCGTGATCTCACGCGAGACTATGAGTGCAGCGCGCTGCTGGTGCCACCCGTAGGTTTGGCCGTAAAATGCAAGGCGTAGCAGCATCTTCAACGTGATGGCTCGGCGTTGTCCGTGCCATTGATGGTGTCGCGCGTCGTCCATGAGAGCTAGTAGATTTCGGGGACCCGGTGTGTCGAACCATGCTGACCCATTTCATAAACGTTTCGATGGAGTTACTAGATGGTAATGTCCGACGTGTGTTTTTTCTAGATGATACCGTGGAGAAGTGCGCTGTTTTTTCAGTAACAAAGTTAAAGTGTGTTTCGTGGATTCCGTTATTTTCATTTACAAATGCACGTAATCTTCATTAATGTAGAATAGATGACATTTCTTCATAAGAATTGCTGCAGGGCATGCAGGTATAATTGCTTCTCGAAGATTCCGTGTCATCGTTGCGAGCGACCAAGAAAAAGAGGGTAAGGGAAGTCTTGGGTGCATGTAATTAACTGGCAATAATTTCCGCTTTTTTAAAAAAATTTTTGCTGGAAACAGTTGAAGTTTGAGTCGCACAGAACGAGACAAACCGTGGTGTGGGCGTCTGACGGCTGCTCTCGCATCCGCAGGTGGTGCCTCTTCCCGACCCACACTCCCAAAGAGATGCTCAAGCTGCGGCCCGAAGACGGGGGCAAGCAGGGGGACGAGGCCATCACCTGGTTCCGGATGGTCTACCCCAAGACCCAGCAGCCCTCCTGGCCCCAGGACTGCAAGCCTGTGAGAGGACACCCCCTCCACTCTACCCGCCCGCGCACACCGCGACTGGATGCCAGACCTATACTCCGTCTCGGCATAACATGACAAACGGCCGGAGCTACGGCCCAGTACTTCTTAGACGACAAAGCTCGGTGCCGAATTTTCGGCGTGGCCTAAAAAGGATTGACATTTGGCTGGTTGGACGCGAGTTTCAGCGAAATGCTGATGCAGCTTGCGTGTCTGATCTGTGCCCTACGTCGGCCTTTAGGTGACGGCGAAAGTTTTCAGCACTACTGCTTTGTTACCTAGGAAGCGTTGTACAGACCGGGATGGGGCATGTGACAAAACCCCGCTGGAGGCATCTTCTCTGTGGCACTTCCGCACATTTTGTTTGAATGCTAACATTAGCTCGCCCGGGCCAAAGGCTCTGATCTGCCAAGTTACGACAGAACGGAGTGTATTTTGGTGCAGCTTTAATGAGACGAGGGAAATTTATTTTATGTAATCTTTTCTTCAAAGGGATTATGTACTGTGTCACTTGGCCTTTCATTTACTCCCGGGTTAAGGTGCGTCTCACCGGTATGAGCCTTGAATTAACTATGTAGCTAAACAATCTGGCCATAAAGCATCATCCCGGAATAGAACTCTGAATAAAACTTTTACTAGTGTTGTGCAAATATTCAAATAGTAGTTCTGAATAATGCACTATTCTGTATTCACTTCAAGGTGAACTGTGATATTCATACTTTTCGAAGTGTTGATCGCGGCGGGTTTTTCCCGTTGAGTGCACTTCTCGCAGAGCACCTGTGCACTGCGGGAAAGCAACACCGAAGCTCGCTGGCTCTGCGAGTATTGCTTCCCTACGGCGCACAGGTGCTCGGCGAGAAGCGCACTCAATGGGGATAACTCGCCACGATTATGCAAAAGTATGTTAGGCAGCGATGCCTTGACAGCCCTGTTCATTATTCATTCTTGTTTTCTTTTTTTTTTTTGTAAAATTTGAAAAAGAAGAAAGAATATTTGTATATAGCAAGCAGATTTATAAATCCCCTCGATTAGGATAGCTGTGACAAATTTGTCATTTAAATGTCACAGTTCATGAGTATAATTATTTTAAAATTAGCTGAGCTTAGAAGTGGAGGGTTGGAAACATTGGAAACAACTTTCATGAATTCAGCAGAATTTTTGTTTAACCACGGTGCACGGCAGTGAAAGACTAGAAAATACTATTCGATATTCAATTAAAAAGTATTTGGCCGATGACGCTATAGTGGAACCTCGATTATGCGTCCCCAGTTTATGCGACATCCTGCAATTTATGACAAATTTGCCTGGTCCCGACGAACTCACCATAGAAATAATGTATTAAAAGTTTGGTTTACACAATGCATGATTCTACGCGTCATCCGACATTCCGGCGGGAAACGTGCAATGACGGCGGCAGCGCGGCAATGCAGAAGAGTTTGGCGCGCTGTTTCAGAGGGTCCAAAGACACGCCGTTGGCAACCCAAGGTAGCCACAGTGCCGGAAGGGAGCAGGAGACCGCTTTCCCTTCTCCCCGGGTTGTGAAATGCCTCAGCGTTTTTGCGTCACGTCCTTGCTCCGCTCACTCCATTGTTCTCTCGTCTCTTGTTTACCCTCGCTGTCTTCTGCACGCCACCCTCTCCAACTTGTTGCTTCTCGCAGCATTGAGCACGCTTCCGCTGGTTCCTGCCATTCCCTCTTTCGGAAAGTGTGAAAAGCGACAAGGATTCCATTGTCGTGATTGTGCGCGCTGGCGAACAATGTCTCGCCGAAACGGACACCATTGGTGATAGGAGAGCAGATTATTAGCTTAGACATCATTTAAACCTCTGCCTGTCCTTTTCACGCGAGGCCAATCACTGTATCCGTAATCATAGTTTTTTTGGATCATACGACTATTTCACACGGTCCCACGAAAGTCGTAAAATCAGGGTTCCACCGTATTCGTTTTGTGCTTGTGTTCAAGCTCTAGGTCCACTATTCGAACACCCCTAGTTTTTTTTACTAAACTCATGTGGGACCTCCGTAGTATCATAGTTGCCAGGATCTCAGGTTGTGTGTCTGTGCAGCTGGAACTGGTGCAGAAGCCCGGGGAGGTGGTGTTTGTGCCGGGCGGCTGGTGGCACGTGGTGGTGAACCTGGACCACACGATAGCCGTGACACAGAACTTCTGCAGCCGCACAAACTTCCCTATCGTCTGGCACAAGACCGTCCGGGGCCGGCCCAAGCTCTCACGCAAGTGGTATGCCTCCCTCAAGGTCGGTACTTGCTCCCTCTTTCTTTACAGATGGATGGATGAATGTTAATGGCCATAAACTCTGTAACGGGCAGTAGCTTACACCACCTAACCCAAGAGGCTTTTTAAAAATACTCTACAGGGTGTCACAAAAGAAAATTTACACTGTCTTTTTTACCGCAAAAAGAAACTAGGCATCGCCGAACGCTCGTTCTCTGCCCAAAGGTAGAGCTAGAGGTCACAACCAGATGCCAAAGTTTCAGTTCGATCCGATAACTTAATCAAAAGTTATAAGTGATTTACTGAAAATTTAAATGGGAAAATGGAGCCCATTTTTGCCCGTTTTCGGTTTCTGGTGCCATAGAGCCCCATGTGTTTGAAAACTCTGTCGGCCGCCATTTTCCCATTGAAATTTTTAGAAAATTTTTTATAACTTGATGAAGTTATCGGATCAGGCTGAAACTTTGGCATCTGGTTGTGATATCTACCGCTACCTTTGGGCGGAAAATGAGCTTTCGGCGATGCCTAGTTTATTTTTGCGGTAAAAAAGACTGTGTAAATTTTCTTTTGTGATACCCTATATTCACTGCCACCAGGCCGTGAGGGTAACCGGCATGGAAGACGCTTTGGCATTCAGGTACAAAGTTGCCAATACAACAGCAGCTTCACTAAAATCACTGACGAGCAACTATCCTGCAGTTGGCCTTTTTCATTCATCAACTCGAAGAAAATTAATTGCAGCTGTATTTTGATCTGTTGATCAAACCGTCGTATGTGGAATTGCAGAGTCTTTTCGAAACGTTGCCAAGTTGCTCTCTCTCTGCCTCTTTTTTTCTTGCTGCGACAGGGAGAATGCACAGTCGTGTAGCCTGAGGCCAGGGAGCCTTTCGTGGGGTCGCTCACAGCGTGCTGACATGGGATGCATGTCAACACGCTGTGAGTTGAGCATGGCCACATCTTTAGGTTACTTGGGAGTGCGTGAAATTAATTAGAGGACCATGTGATTTTGTCCTCAAAAGGACGAAAGATGCAGAGAAAAAAAAAATGCGCTCTAGCTCTGATGAATTCAAGATTCCCGCCAGACTTTCGTGTGCTTTCTTATGGTCAACGCCAACTCACACACTTGCATTTTCTTACGACGAGAGTTCTCTTATCGTAAGAGATCACAAGAAGTTTTAATGAACACAGTCGTAAGCGGATGCAAGTGTGTGAATGGGCCTTTAGTAGTAATACTATTATCATTTGAGAGTAACTCTCCAGTACCACTCATAACTTTCTTTTAAAGCTATTCTTTCGTGCACTGACCTCCCCTTCTTTCTCGTTTTGTTGTTGTTTGTGTACTCTGGACAGATAACCAGTAGTGCATACTACTAACGACTGTCCTTTGACTCTGTGTTCTTGCAGGAGCACAGGCCAGAGCTGGCTGCGGTGGCAGACCAAGTGGATGTATCTCGCGAGTCTGGAGTCGCCTCGGACTCTTCGTCAGGCTCGAGTTCGTCGTCGTCAGGCTCCTCGTGCTGCTCGAGTTCCGACGACGACGACTCCGGCAAAGAGAGCATCGGCGACCACAAGCGGAAACGGTGAGTTGTCGTCCTGCGGCTGTCGAAGCAGAAATGGGATCATAGATTGTAGTTTTGTTATCATTCCCCATTTTAATTGACGACGAGCTTGCAATGCAACTCTTATAGGGACGTGCAATTGAACGACCGGCACATGAAATTATGTACAGCTTTGGTGCGAGTACGGTCACTGAACGACCGAAATGTAAGACACCTGGTTGCCATCGACCCCTAAAGTTTGACGATTTTAGAATCTGCGGGGTCTAGGTGTGTACGGCGGGCCTTTCTGCAGGCAACAATTTCAAAGGCGCATTAACCCTCAAAAGCAGTGGTCGGCAATCTTTTGGCGAAGCGGGCCGAGTCACTGCTAAGCCAAGGCGGAACGGGCCGGACGGCAAGCGGGGGGGGGGGGGGGGGGGGGGGGATAAAAAAAAAAAAAAAGCACTTGCAAGAACTTACATTGACGTACATAAATCGAAAATTAACAGTTTCTTTATTTCACGACAAAGAACATGAGATACAACATTTCCACGAAACCCTAGAGACTCGTCTCAGTGACACTTTTGGTGCTGAACTGCGCTCGCCAAACTACGAACATCCACATTCAAGCTGCTAACTGCGAGTCGCAAAACATTGTGGAGGTTCTCGTCAGTCATTCGTGAGCGGAAGTTGGATTTTATGCACTTCATTCGTGAAAAAGTCTGCTCGCAGACGGGCAGCGAATTAGTCAACTTCATTATTATTATTTTTTTTTGTTTCTTTAGCTGACTGCGTAGGGGGGGAGGGGGGGTTACCGGGAGGCTGAGGGCCGTATGATACTACCTCGCGGGCCGGATTCGGCCCGCGGGCCGCTGGTTGCCGACCACTGCTCAAAAGCATCAAAATAGAAGGATACATCTGCCTGGATGAATTGGCAAGAGGTTGATGCAGCTAAGCGGGAGAGACTCGCAACGTAACGCACAACGGTAGCTTAGTGCAAGGTTCCTAAACTTGGCGCTCCCTCGGAACACTTTTGTTTAGGGCGATCTGTGGAAATCGTGCCTCACGCAAATGTCTGTCGTGGCTCGGTCAAATTACCTCCGCTTTGCACTACGTTGAACTTCTAACGAACAGTTGAAGCTGCAAATTAAAATAAAGCTCAATTCCAGCTGGAAATACATTTGTTTTTGTTTTGTTTTTCTCGCCACTGCAAGTAGTCTTCTGACCGTCGCCCGACGTCACTCTTCGCTGCTTGAACGCTTCTGGCACGGCATTGTAATCTTTTGGAAGCTTGTGTTCGTGCTTCCGTGGGCAACCTATGACGAGGTAGGCACAGCGCACACCGCTTACTTGCCGGTTTGCGACCGACCGCCTCATACATTTGGGCCGTCGTTCAAGGAACCAAACTCCTGACGTGGGACTTGGAGGCTCCTGGTTTCACTTTTAACGCAATAGCGTCTAGGAGCTTGTGTCGCAGGAAACTCGGTGTCGTTGGGACTGGAAACTCCTGATTGGGTCGATAGGGTCATGATGTCATAGCCACATGGCATGCGCAGGAATTTCGGATATCCCACGACGTCACGTGTGGAATGAAAGTGGATAAAACGTGACATGTAATGCAATTTAAATGTCGCCACATTTCTCAAATCGTTTCACTTTATAAAAATTTGGAAAATTTTAGGCGGAGGCAGGATTCGAACCCACGAACCTTAGGTTATAAGCCAGACACGCTACCTACTAGGCTGCGCAGGCATGCTTGGGAACAAGAAAAGTTTACATGTTAAGCTATCGCGTTCCACTCTTAAAGGCAAAGCTTAAGCGTCCTCCTGTAATCTTATTCTTTAGCATCTGCATTGAGTGTCCTCTTATTTACTGATTACCTTTTGCATGCAACATCTTTTTTATAGTCGTTGCAGGAGAAGCACCTTGTGCAAAGCTCTCTGCTCGTCATAATTGGCTCTCCTCTGCAGTCCTTGGTCTGCCTAAGTGGAAAGAGGGGAGGGCTTTGTGGAACAGGCTTATCCTGCTTTTTTAAAGTACTACAAGAGACTATAGCCGCAGAAGAAATCGCCATCTGTTGGCCACCATCGCCTGTGGCATCCTCCCAAAGACCACCCAGTACAGCGTGTTCCAAAACAAAATTTACAGGCTTTTTTTCACCGCAAAAATAAACTATGTACGACCAAACACTCAATCTCAGCCGAAAAGGTAGTGCTAGAGGTCAGAACCAGATGCCAAAGTTTCGGCACAAACCAATGTTTTATTTAAATGTTACAAGTCATCTGCTGAAAATTTCATTGGGAAAATGGGGCCCATTTTTGCCCGTTTTCGGTTTTCGGTGCCATAAAGCTCCATGTATTCGAGAGCTCCGTCGACCATCATTTTCCCATTAACATCTTCAGAAAATCATTTATAACTTTTCAGTAAAATATTTGTATGTGCTGAATTTTTGGTATCTGGCTCGAACCTCTAGTGCTACCTCCGAGCACCGAATGAGCGTTCAGCAATGCATAGTTTGTGTTTGCGGTGAAAAAAACCCTGTAAATTTTCTTTACAGGGACACCCTGTATACCACCCAGCACAGAGAACTTCAACTAGAGAGGGTTAGAACAATCAGCCGCATAGAAAGCAAATGGAGCAAAAGGCACAGCTAAAGAGGAGATTAATGAGGGTCATTCTTTGGCCTGTGTCCTTTGCACTGTTTATTTTTAGCAATGGTCTACAAATGAGCCCAGTTGTCAACCCTATATGATCAGCCTTTATGCTCGTCCCCTACTTTCTTGGACATCAGTGCCTTGCAAATATCCAACAACAAATATTGTAATGCTCCTAGGGAATATTTTCGATGACAGTCATGAAATATCAATATGCAGTAAATAAACTTACGGACGCTTATAGTTTTTATTCTGCAGCTCGAAGTTTCTTTGCATGGTATCCTACAGGCCACATTCACAAAATTATCAAAATCTGCCTTTCTTGACAAATAATCGTAATGTTTCCGAGGTCTGTAATTGCCTGGGTATCGTAGAATACAATGCACTTAGAATTTTGAAATCTCCTTCAAAACTTCTTATTCCACGTAATGTCCCAAAAAGATGGCATTGTATGGATGTTAAAGATTGGGCCACTCGTGTCTGAAAAGTGCAGTGCTAGCTTGCATCAGTGCAATCCTTTTTAGAAAACCCTGCTCTATTACAAAACTTATTTTTCTCTTTCTTTGACATTGCAGAAAGCGTTCGTCAAGCAGAGAAGACCGCCAAGATCAGATGCGTAGCAGCGGCTACAGGTGTTGACAAAGTGTAGGGTAGACAGAAGACAAGTCTGCGTTCCATGCCAAAAAGAGATGCCACGACCGAGACACTCCACACAGCATACGAGACAGTTTCTATCAAGGGTGTTGTGAACTCCTGTTTAGAAGACGTTTTTGTGCAAAGTATTCTTTTTGTTTCCCTACGACAAAGGATTTCAAAGACTCCATCCCTGAAGACGAGTGCATCTGGAAAGACGTTTATAATAGCAGATAACTTTTTTTTTCTTTTTTTTTTTTTTTTAAGAAGAGGATTGTGTTTTGCATGCACGGAAGTAAGGAGGTCATTTCGCTGTTGGTAGCAAATATACTTACACCAGGTTGCACGGAATGTGCAGCGAGTTTTAGTGTTATTTTAATATGATTATTATTATTATTGTCATTATTTAACTTTCGAAGCATTTACAATTTGTCATCAAGACTTGTGGCAGGTGTGAGTGCACACGTGCACATTTTGAAGTGTAACAATAAAAAGTGTTGGCTTTGTACATGGACATTTTTTGCTTATCGTCGGCTCCTAAAATTGAACCAGTCTGGTAGTACAGGTGATTGTAGGTGTGATTGATTTGATCTGGGACAACAGCACTCTCGACGATAAAGCAGTCAATGTTTTTTTGCTAGCGGAGAGCAGAGCAGAGCACATCTTTTTCGGTGGATAGAGATGTTTGTTTATCAGTCACCTACAAACGTTTGGAGGAAATTTCTGCTTGCCCCTTGAAATGGCTTATGAGGGCCATTGGACTCCAACCACATAACAGGCATTTTCTTTAGCGGCAGATATATCTTATAAATGTCATTTTCATTTGCTAGAAAGATGAGAATGCAAAAAGAAACGATGGTATGAATATTTGTAGAAAGAACTTAACCTGGGTCAGCAGACTAACAAGCTTCCCTCATATCCAGCTAAAGTCACCTTTAATTTCAGGTCTCAACAGGGCAGGGATCTCGAGCGATCTTTCCAGTGATGTAAAATGACAAAATAGAAACATTTGGGACAAAAAGAGGGGAAGGTTATGATGATAGTGCAAGCGTTCTGGATAAGAATAACGATAATAATCCTTGGAGAAAACTTGTCAAAGCACACAACTAAGTTATGGTTTTGACCTAGGTGGCGCGCGCTACCGCCCGTTACAAAAGATATAGTACGTGATTTCGTCATCCATTAACTTCCGCGCCCGTGAAGTCGCGTGAACTGTGCGTCCTGAGCTTCTTAAGTCCCTGCGATTCAACCTCCTTGCTGCGATTGGTGAACTACTCGGTGTCCTTTGGGGCTTGATCAGTTTGATGATGACTTTTCTCGTAATCGCTTCTCTCGCGCGGGTGTTATGATAACAGTAAAATCCGGCGCGGCAATCCTTTTAAAACACCTCAAATATGGACCAGCAGTCCTCCTCTGCAAGTGCCACGGTCGCTGTAGCCCTACTCGCACCACGCGCGCTGACGCGCAAAAAGCCGCAACTGAGAGCAGCCCGAACACCAGCAGTCGGACGTCCCAAAAAAACCTTCACTCCGCGGCGACAGCCCATGACGAGGCGACGGAAAGTCGGGTGTTCGAGCTCGTCAAGTGCTTGCAGATCTCTGAAGCTCTGTCGGTGACAATCAAATCCTTTAAGGAGAGCGACAAGAACATCCCGACATGCCGAACTATCAACGCCTTGATTGCAGCGCTCGCGCGAGTAGGGGACGTGCCTGGCGTCGAACGGGCGAGCTCGCTGGCCAAGCGGGCCTACCCGGATTTCTGGGCCGAACAGATCGCCTTCGAGCACTACCGCGCCGAGGCTCTGTACCGCGCCGGCAGAACCGAGGACTCCGTCGACGAGTTCGAGGCGCTCTTCGTCAAGCACCCTCGTCAACGGGACAAGATCAGCAACCTCGTGTCCTTTTTCGCCATCTACCTCTTGTCGGAGAATCGGGAATCCGAAGTGGACCTCTTGGTTCGGATGTGCGTGCGTCTGGCAAACAAAGGTTACTACCACCCCTTGGCTAACGTGTGGAAGGCCCTGTTCTTGAGCGAGAACAAGAGGTACCACGTGACCGCTTGGACCCTGGTAGAGGTGGTCAAGGGACGGTGCAACGCGAAGGAGTTCTTCGAGAAGAAAGTGAGTCGCGTTCTCGTGACCGCGGTGGAGACGGACGACATTGACGTCATACACCGGCTCCTGGACGTTGTGCTTCACCTTGAGATCGAGACCTGCTATGGCACTGTCCTCAGCTTCCTGCTAGAGTTCTACTGTAAGATGCTCTCATTATTTCATACCTGTGAAACTGAACCCTAAATGTTCTGGAAAAGGGGGAGGGTTGTTCCTGGTCCAAATGTTTGTTTGTGTGCTCCATTTACATCTAAGCTGACAGGCACTCACCGAACCAATCAGCTGCCTCCCGTCACCGACTCCGCGCTCTGTGCATGGACGAGAGCATAATCACGCAGCTGAAGACTGTCGTATGACTGGTCCGGCGAGTGCGTAGCTTTCACTACACCGTCAGCTTAGGAATAAGGACGTAGTCGTTATGTAGCACTTGACAAAGGGGATCCCATACATTATTAGTTAGATTTTTACGCCATTCAGCTTTGGCCCATTATTCTTGTTGAATGTATGCGTAGTACTCGTGCACATTTTTGACAGGCAAATCATCAGAGAAGATCCAAAAGCATGGAATTCTGCAATTATACAGCACTAACGCTTCTAAGGCACTTTAGACGACGGCCCGCAAAAATCGGTTGCTTAAGGTTTCGCAATGCAATTTACCACAAAGTTGCAAGCAGGTGGTGGAAGTTTACTGTGAAGAAATCAAGCAATGATCTTGCCTCGTTCAAAAGAAAAAAAAAATGTTTTGGGCAATCTATGGTGCCAGCAGACTGCACATGGCGCATCAATGGAGCACCGTCCGATTAGGGTTGATAGCAGACAATATCGCAAAACCCGAGTCGGCCGGTGCTCCCTCGACGCTAATTGTGCCATTTGTCAGCAGCACTCATCTCCACAGGTGCATCGTTTGCGATCCGGCAGCGCAAACTGCCAAGAGCTTTTCCTTTTAAACGAGGAGTTAATTTTGTTATCTTTCCACTGTAAACTTCGACCACCTGCTTGCAACTCTGTAGTAAATTGCAGCGCCCTATGTTAAGAAACCGATTTTTCGGGCTGTCTAAAGTGCCGTAGAAGAGTTTGTTTACATGCTATAGATATTGAATATATAACCTTCGAAAGACCAACAGGTTATTAGAGCTGGCATCAGCATTGCATCGTAACCCCAAACAAGTGTGGTGTGCCCAGTGTATTGGCCTTTCTCAAACAGACTTCGCGTCTCCACTCCAGGTGATGGCAACGACTTGGACAACGTCCAGAGGACCTTCGCACACGCCCAGGAACGCAGAGTGGAGCTGAATCCCGTGACCTTCTACCGCTACACCTGCTTCCTCAGTTCCCACGGCATCCAAATCCCACGCGAAGTCCTCCTTGCAAAATACAAGATGGACCAACGGCAGAGTAGCAAGGGTAGCGGCATCAAGTTCAAGTTCTGAAGACCCGACACTACAGCTGGCTTGCTCAAAATGAACGGAGGCAAAATATCGAACACAATCACACAAGCAGAGCAGCATGCAGAGAATGTGATCTCAGTGTGCTAGCACACTGCACTCAGTTTCACCTTACGATGAACCATAGAGGCGCTACAAGTCATTGCAGCATGTTCAGGGCTGTTCAAGTGTTGCACAAGTTTTGGGAGGCGGTACAATGGTGCCACACGATGGGTTTACTTTGTAGCACTGGGTCAGCTAAAATGGCTCGTAGTCTGCTGTTGTGGACCATTGCAAGGTGAAACGGCCTTTGTAATGCTCTCTCACAAGTGGTTCAGGCTAGATTCTTTAAGAGTTCATTTTAACGGGCCAACAGTTTGGAGTCTCTGTGGTCTTCAGCTTTTGCGCACTACAGGAAATGAAGTGAAACTTCTGCTGGAGGTGTGTTTTGCTTGTGGCAACAGTGTATTATAGTTACTGAATGAATTAAACTAGAAGAGGAAGCTATTGTGGTTTGCACCAGTGTCCCTACACCACAACACTGTAGTAGTGCTTCGTTCTAGGAACCTGTAAAGGTGACGTGCAACATTGTTTTCTACGTACTGCTTAATCACTGCAACATACCATAATCACAGAAGCATCCATTGTATTGTGTAACATCAACAAGTCAAAGATGCAAAACAAAAATCTAGAGTGCACATGCTTAATATTAAAATTAAATTGCAGGTTCACCTCCTGAAACAGAAAAGACTAGCTCAAGAAAAAAGAAACTTTTTAGTGTTCATATTCTGAGCTAAGTATAGTTTCTTGCACAAGATTTGGTTGTCAGAGGAGGCGCTGCTTTTAGAATTTGAAATATGTAATCTTGATAACATATATCCTAACTCTGTACAGTCAAACCCGTTTATAACGAGCAGCAGGAAAAGCTACGATCGGTTCGATATAGCAAAACCCATTTACAACGAACTTCCATGATGCGTTCGTTGTAAACCGAGAGCTTTCTTTCTTTCTCATCTCTTCACTTCTGCCTTGTAACAACGCGCTGTAAAGGTCTCCTTTTTTGTTTTTCCTTTTTTTTTTTTGCATGCGTGCAGGGTTTTCTTTTTAGCTTATTTCCCCTTCTAAATCGCTTCCTTTTGTGGGCAAACATTTTGGGATGAAACTTTTTTCTATGCGTGCGTGCAGAGTAGTTTTTAGCTTTCTCCCCTTCCGAATCTCTTCTCTTCACTCAATTTTGTTTGCAACTTGAGCTTCTGGAATTTTCCTTCTTTCCTACTTCTTTTTGCGGGAAGGGACAGGCTAGAAGACAATTGTCTGTGCGTTCTTGGAAGCCTTTCCGGGGGAAAAAAAGTTTGATATAGGTAGCCAATAGGTTTATTACCTTGTTCTGTTTGCAAAAGCATTCTAGAAAAAAAAAAATGTGTACCAATGTATCGAGTCTTTCTGTAAACTGGCTTTCTGCAACTCCGTTTCAGCAAAACTTGGGAGTATCAAGAACTGTGATTATCATCAACACAAAAACATACATTTACGATGACAAGATTTACAGCATTTATTGAAAAGAAAAAAAAAAGAAGCAACCCTGTATATAAACGTTCCCCACAGCAAACGAAATCGAGAGCCCAGCAGCCCCAGAAACGAACTTCGGCAATCAAGCTCCCCATCTATGTACAGTACTGTATAGGACGACGTAATGTTCTGGCTCTAATCTCATTGTCCTGCAAGCGCTTCCCGTGAAAAGGCACTTTGACACCCAGCAATTCCACAGTCTTCCACTTCTCCTCGCTACAGCCAACCCAACTGAAAAGAAAACGTACGGCAACGTCGGCCGAGAGTACGGTGCCTGGTGACGACGTGGCACTTTAAAGAAGTCGTCCGGCGGAAATCGGGGAACCGGTCTTCTTTTAGACGCAGTAAACACGCCGGTTGGAGATGCATTTGTAGGCACCGTACCCATGCTGACGGACGATGAAGCAGCAGGTCGTATTAAGGAAAGGTGTATAAATATGCTAACGAAAACTATATATATTAAAAGAAACAAAGAACTCGTAAATTCGTTCGGATTCGCTCTCAGCACCAAGGCCGAACGCGACGGCGGCAAAAAAAAAAAAACTGGTGCAGCACAGATATTGAGTTATAGAACAAAGGTTGCGACAAGCGCAGCAACCAGACACTCGGAATGCTGCCCTGTCTGAAATGCGCCGAATCTCCACGGCACTTGCTGCGACTGCAATACGTATGCCAAAACACGACGGGATTGACACTGCACGTTACGGCGTCGATTTCTCTAGGAGAAACCTAGACCTTAAGTTGATCCGCACTGCGAGCGCCAATGAGTGAAGGGAAGGGCAAAGTCCAAATCAACATCATCTCAGACTTCACTGCACTTTCCATGAAAGCAGGGTAGATATAAATTAGAACCGAGAAACAAGAAAAAACTAAGTGGAGCAGCATTCCACTAAAAGCAACGTCTCCACATTGAAGCTTGTCCTATAACTGCTTCTAAAACACTTTGCAGCAAAAAAAAAAAAAAAAAAAAGTCATACGTTTTGGCATTATTGTTGAAGGGATAGCCTTTTGCGTTTGCACGCAGATACCAAACTGAGCTCGGGAAAACGACAATGCCGCCGCCTCCGGGCTTGCAATGTGGTGCCAGTATTTGCGGTTTGCGAGGCACTTCGAGGCTAGCTTAACGGCAAGTAGAAAGTAGTCGTGCTCGATGACGTTAGGCGAAAAGAAGAAAGCTGTGCTACGGGTTGTTGCAACGAACGCGTCTTCCGAGAAACACAGTTGCTCCGCTTCAAACTGGCTCTAAAGAACTCCGATGAACGGGAAGACTGACAACGGTGCCAAGATCTGAATAAATAGTTCGACACTGTGTCAGTTTTCCTGACATTCAAGCTCGGTACACTGTAATCCCGCCCGAGTGAAGTTTTCTTCATAAAAGCGTCCAAATAAGAGATTACTAGTCAAGTTTTTTGTGGAAGTACTACAGCAATGTTGGATAGAAAGAAGCTTCGGTGTGATTAATTACAGTTTACGAAGGCTTCTAAAGCCACTGTAGGCTTGTAGCTTTACCAGATACACGAATGGTGCAACCATTCGAAACTGAGAAATGGGGAAGCATAACATTCACCAGTATGTACCATAAAATATGCACCATACACACAACCCTGAGCAACCTGTGATTCTGAGCACCTACCAAATTTTACCGAGAGAAGGCTTCAGAAAGAGTATTTCATGAACCTTGCCTCAAGTACAATTTACACCAGACATAGTTTTTGTGTTGTTTAATGTCCAGGACGAAATTTAAGAAAAAAAAAATTTGGATTAGCGGAACAAAACTTTTCACTCGGACGAGATTTCATTGCGACCCTACTCCTTAACGAGTGCTCGACAAAATAAAAAAAGAATCGGGGGTCGACGCACTCTAATTGCGCCACGCCAGAACTGCGTGGGGATTGGAAGACCCAGGAGAAGACGCCACATTCTAAGAAAGAGAAAACGTTGGAACGAATCGGAATTCGTCGAAGGCAAAGGCTAGTGTCCGCCGGAATGCGGTTCTCCAGTGGCCATGGGGTCGACGACGTTGTTTTCGGGCGGCACCGGGGTAGCGTCCTCGGTTTGCGAGCCTTTGGAGGGATCGGCGCAAATCTCTGTGATCGTGGTCGCCGGCACGGCATCCACAGGTGGCGCCAGCGACTCTGTCGCTTCGCTAGCAAGCTCCGCCTCTGGGCTCTTGGCCTCTGCCATCATGTCGCCATAGAACGTCGGCTGGAAAACAAGCGGGGGAACGTTTCGTGAGTTTTGCACGAGTGAACGGAGCATGCGAAACCTCACTGTTTGTGCACAATGCAGATGCTGCACACAGTAAATACATTGCGAAGACACGAGGATGAATTAAAAGCTTGATGCTGCTCCCATTTCCGTTTGTGCTGCTTTTACAACGACAAATCAAGAGCTTGCTCCATTTTTCATTCTAGAGTAAAAACTATAGAACTTACTTGCTACTACTGTTGAGACCGGTTTTAACGTCTGTTATAACGAAATAGCTGTTACAATGAAGCGATCACGATTTCAACGAAATAGCGGATATAGCGAAATGATTTCAGATTCCCGTTGACTTCGTTAAAATCGGTCTTGAAAGTACCATACATCATTTAAGTGATATACAGTGAAAAACGCTTGCTCCCACACATGCACTCAGTGAAATCCTACTTCAAAGCTGCTGACCTGCACTTAAGAGTTCTGCCAATGTCCAGATCGAACCCCAGCTAATGAAACGGTTCAACAAAAGCAGCTTATACAAACAAGATAAATCTAATCTCTTTGATTTGTCAAAAACTTGATTTCACAGATCATGTTGCCAAACGCTTTGCCTTGCTTGGAGGCGGCCTAGCAAAATGCTCGTAAAAGTGGTCTGCATTTAAAGACTGAAACTAGACCCCGACCTTCTCGTTGAAGGTCATATCGGTCATGTCCTTGGAGAGCCCGTTGCCCGTTCCGTCGTCCAACCGCTTTCCGCCCGTTTCGTCGTCATCGTCGGAGTCTTCGTCACCGGAGGAGTCCTGCCCAGCTGACTTTTCAACCATTTTTTGCTCTGCAACGACAAAGGCAAAGTTTTAAAACATGCCTCGATTGATCCATCTACTACGATAGAAAGAACACAGGGAGGAAAGGCAAGCACAATGCACTGCCACAAATCTACCAAGTCCAATTAAATTTGGAAATAATTAGAAACGATGAAGAATTTCTTATCGCGACAACCGTGGCTGTCTGGTGGGCACTACACGAGAATCGTACGTGCATGCGTGTTCCACAAAAGCAATTCGTCAAAGCCGTGGCATAGCTGTGCGGTAACGCGCCTGCTTCGCACGTGGCAGACCCGGGATTGAATACTGAGAGTACCGTAACTGCGGGCAATCTTCCTCGAGCAGCTGGCAAAATCAACGACAACGCCCTACTACTACAACAGTGGACGTCATCTCCAATGCTAAAAAGAGCTAGTAACAGCTATTATCGCTGCCTAACGTGGCGCAAGGCGCAAGGGAGTCACCTCTGATCATGCCCCCCGTGGCCGACTCGAGGATGGAGGCCCTGGAGAGGGAGTCGTAGCAGGTGAGGCAGACGCGCAGCGGCTTGTTGGCCTGGGCGGGCAGCAGGAACTTGCGGTTGGAGCAGGGCCCACAGACCACCGCTCCACACTTGCGGCAGTGGTGCTGCAATGCAGGAGGACCGGCTAGATTAAAGGGCACTCAAAAAAAAGAAAATATGAGATTACACCACTAGGACTCTCTGTATGTTCCTATATTTCTGCTAAACCTTTTTCCAAAATGGCACGGTAGTTTCGTGGATAAATTGGTTTATAGGCAGGATCCTCGGATCCACCCATATCCGGGGAAGGTAGCCATGTTTGCTGCGTCGGCGACGTCATTTGCCCAACGTCCAGCGTCCCCTTCCATGCACTCGCAGACTTGACCCTCTCGGCGTATCGTGCGTCAGCTTCCTCATTTACCTTCCGTGTTTTGCGCACGCTGTAAGTGACGATTGCGTCTATGGCATTGCTTGCTTCGTCGGAGGCTTTGACACTGATCACTGCGGTGATTAGAGTGATTGTTATTGATAGATGTTGGAAGCTCGCAACTTTGACTGCGACCTGCTGGCGACCACGGCGATCGTCACCAACGAACTCGCCGTGGTCGCCATCGTCCGCAACAATCTCGCAGGTGCATGCAGGGTGGAAAATCAAAGGGCCGGGGGTGAGAGCGAGAGTAGCCAAGTTGCACGATAGGTTTTGATTGTACAGTGGCAGGGGCACCATGATGCAACTAACTTGGGTAGTGTTGCCTCGTTACCGGATAAAAATGATGAGCATTCGTAAATTGATTATTGCAATTACTAGAGCCTCTAAAAGTCGGGAAACCTCGCGTATGTACTAAGTAGCCTACGAGCATTCCATTTCACGAATAATCTACCCTTTGAATATTCCGTGTCCTAACCCCTTTAAGGACCATCCACACACTTGCATTTGCTTAGGACCAAGCTTTTGCAATCTCTTAAGGCAAGGGAACGGGCTGGCATGCTGGTGCCATCCACGAAGGGACCCTGCAGGTCGCTACAGCGAAGGTGTTTGTGAGATAAAACGTTTGTACTGTCTTATTTAAATGGTTGTCTATAACAATGTTAAATGTTTTCGAGCAAAAAAAAAAAGGAAGAATGAAGTGCAAAAAAAACTAGAAAATATGCAGAAATGCCAATCGTTCCAAGGCTATCCGATAAGTGGTGCCAATGTGTTTTCGTCGTAACCAGTCACAAGTGTGTGAATGAGCCCTTAGAGTCGATGTGAATCTTCGCACTAAATACGGCACCCAGAACCAGTCTTCCGACTGTTTCTCTAGTTTAAGTACTATATTAGAAGATCGGAGCCACTCTAGTGGTGCGAGACTATAGGCTAAAACAATTCCTAGCATATGCGCATAATTATTTACGAGGTCTGTAGGCTTGTGCACTATTTTATTGCGACAATGCCAGGACCGCGAGGGGTTTCTTGGCCATTAACTGAGGAAAGGCGTTTCTCGAGATTGGAAACTTTGACAAGCCCCAGCCTACTTTCCTGTCAACCTGGATGAGCATCGTACTGGCACGCGGTCGTGTAGTCTCTACCGCGCGATGCACGTCAAAAACCTCAAGTTAGAAGGCGCGTTGTGTCGGCCAAATTGTTCGTCAACGACAGAGACACCGGATGTGATGGTTCGACCTCCATCCGTCTATACCTCCGTACAAAAAATCACTTTGGGGTTCGTAGCTCAAATTTCAAATAGATTCTTGTCTCGATAATGTGGACACTCCACTATAAAGACAAATTTTCTTGAACCGATTGGGTAAATATAGGTGTCCCAAACAGAACTTCCACCGTAAAATCTGCACATCCACGTAGGAAGTTTGAACTTTAACCGAAAGTGCACCGAGCAGGTCAGTTTCAGTTTTACCGCATCAAATTACAAGGCGTAATTCTCTTTCTGTAAAAACGTAGAGCAAAACATTTGCTAAAGTTAAGGTCGGGCACGTTTGCAGACAAAGGAGTTAGCGATGCTATTTACTTGAGGTGCCACCCCCCCCCCCCCCCACCCCGCCCCCAGGCGCAGCGAGCAGACAACAGAGTGCGTCGTCTGCTCGCTGCGCCTATCGGGAGATGGCGCAGTGTTGCCAGCAAACGTGCCCAGTCTTAACTTTGTAAGTTTTTTGCTCTCATTTCTTACAGGAAGAGAACTATGCTTTGAAATTTTATTCGGTAAAGCTGACCTGCTCAGTGCACACTCGGTGAAAGTTTGAGCTTAGTACAAGCAAGATTTTTCCGGCTCGTTTTACAGCAAAAGGTTTCCTTGGGACACCGTATGGGTGGATGTCTGTCTCATCATTAGGGACGCTTTTACAAGGAAATAACAGTGTCCATATTAACGAGACGCGACTGCACACTTGGGGGCAACTTTCTGCGGCAATGAAGCTAAAGCCATGGGTGCTCGTGCACTTGCACACCTCGAGCATCGACGGAAGCTATGCAGGCGCGTCCCTTCACTTCTGAAATGCCGGAGAAAGTTGACACTGCATGTTGCATCTGGTACTTTTACGGAGAGAACTCGAGGTGAGCGACCCACCCGGCGGTTCAGCATGGTGAACTGCGTCTTGCGGCAGTGCATGCAGTAGCCGGCCTCTGCGTCCGGGACCCAGACTGCGGCGTGTTCCTTGGTTGGATACTTCCCGGCTGCGAAGCAGGTCAACTTTTAGCGCTACGTACCTCACCAAAAACACAACTTGCAAAGCGACATTTCAGGAAGGATGCAGAACAAAACCGAGCAAGAGTCGGCTTGAACCCATGGTACGAAAAATTGCACCAATGATAAGTGTCTCGTATGGCCAAAGTGCAGGACGAATGCTGAAGCCGGAGATCGACGTCCCCAAAAATAAAGACGACAACCATTTTTTTCCTAAGAATTACAACTACCGATAAATTTCACAACATCGATTCAATGATACGATCGTGACGTATGGCAACCATTGACTGATGTGGTCTTATAGAAAATTTTAAAGCTGGAGATTAACTGATTCAGGTTCAATGTAAAGCTAGAGCTTGGAAACTAGAGCCTAACTATAGTCCGTTGCAACCTAAGAACGAAGGGCGAGGGTAAGACTGGCCGGGGAGGAGGAAGCAGACGGAACGCTAAAGAGAGAAGGAGGTTTCCCCCTCTCTTCTCCAGCGTTCCGTCTGCTTCCTCCTCCCTGGCCCGTCTTACCCTCGCCCTTCGTTCTTAGGTTGCAACGGATTATAGAGCTTGGAAGCACTTTCTTACAAGTGAGGCAGCTGCTTTTAAACAGTTTGTTCAGCATGAAGTATATCACCATGTGTGTATGTGTGGTATGTTGAGAAGCATCTAACCAAAATTTATAAAAATGTTTTGCTTCCCAATGCCTGCAATTCTTTTAAAGAAAAAAAAAAAAAAATTAAACAATGTTTCAAAAAAAGAACTTACTTTTTTTTATGACGTCCTCCACACATTTGTTGATGTGTGCCATCCACTCCGTTTTCTCGGTGGCAGTAGCAGCGTAGACAGCGAACGATTTGGTCGGCGTTCGGACGAGCCAACCGTTTTTGAGTCCAGCTGAAATGTGCAGAGAAAATAAAACTGAAGCATGCCTAGCATCAAGACACCCCAGTCGCTTAATTATACCAATCAAATATGCGGCTCACATTCATTTATTATCTAATGGCTGCTTCAAAATATAAAACTTTTCAGAAAAATATACGTGCAAAGTGACACACATATGACTGTTATCAAACTCTTTTTAACAGGAAATCAAGCTTGCTATGATCTACTTTATTTTTAGCATTAGCAATGTCGGATTTACCTCTCAGATGCCAGATACAGTAAAACCTCGTTATAACAAAATGGGATATAACAAACTAATGGATATAACAAAGCAATCATAATTCCCCTTGCTTGCTAATAGTGGGAAGAAATGGACATTGGCTATAACAAACTAATGGTTATAACGAAATAATTACGACCGCTCCTTCAACTTTGTTATAACGAGGTTTTACTGTACATTCTTATTCATTCATATTTATTTGCCCACTCTGAACAGAACAATGATTTCATAAAATCTAGGATAGTGTGTCGCTTCTTGAGTTAGCCATCATTGTAAATTTGATTCAAATGGCTATGCATAACCCACCACTTTGCAATGCTAAACCCCCAAGGATAGACTCACTTCCATCGTCTCCTAGATTGTCCAGTTTAACTTCCTCCAGTGGTATGATATGCTGTTTGTTGTACTGAAAGAAAGAAAAGAGGGAACATTTTTTATTCTACATTTTAATTTAAAAGTTTTCTAAAGTAATTGTAGAAAGAAGGAAGAGCAACCCCATTCACATTGTCCTTCCATGGCCGTAAGCTTTAGAGCGCAGCTCTTAGGCGCCCGTTTCCTGATTAAGCGGCATCGCCGTCGGCATAACCCTCGTGAGGGTTACTCTCATGAGGGTTAATCTCACAAGGATCACCCTCGTAACCCTCGTGAGAGTAACCCTGGTAACCCTCACAAGGGTTATGAGTGTTAGTTACCCTCAAAAGGTATACCCTCACGAGGGTTAGTTACCCTCAAAAGGGATTACCCTCACGAGGGTTATGAGGGTTACCCTCAAGAGGGTCACGTAACCCCCTGATGTCACATGATACCCCCCCCCCCCCCCCCCCCATTTTTTTGAAGTCAATGTGACCTCAGGGAGTCACCTATCCCTCAGTACCCTTCCATCCTTCTCCTCAAGAGCTGCACTCTAGCTGCACTCTAATCCGGCATTACAGGCGGCTTTCATTTTTTAAAAACAAACTTTATCTCATTTACAATGCATGGTATTCTCTGTTTACTAAAGTCGGGATGCAAGGCCCACCAAATGTTTTATTTTTCCAATGTCACTTATATTGATCAATTGGTGTGTGTCTTCTTTTTATGGTTTGGTAAACATTTTTGTTAGCCGAGTCTCTTCAATCTTTGTCAAAGAAAGAAAAAGTAAGGTTGATCACCCCTTTGTGAGTCATGACTGCCTTGTAAAGTTCAATGTGTAGAGTGATGTGTTAAGAAGCCAGCCTTGGCTGTCTGCCACAATTAATTTTTTTATTGTGATTTCTTGAGCTAGGGGCTTAGCAGCTTTTTGTCTGCGTGTGTCATGGCTGAAATGCATTGTATGTGTGTGTGTGCATGTGTGTATATGTCTGTATATATATATATATACAGGGTGTTTCACAAAAAGTGGACAAATTCGATATTGCGAAAACTATGCGTCGCAACAAAAAAAGGCTTGTGTCGTTTTCGTCCTGGGCCAGGGGCCTATATAGGAAAATGATTAAAGTCCGGGATAATTAGATTGTTAATTATTTGTGCGTAATTAACTTTAATAATATTGTGTTGAAGGGCATGGTTTCGATTAGAAACTTGCTGAGCATCATCGAAAAACACTAAATCAAAAATTTCAGAAAGATAGAAGGCATGCGCAGCATTTTACGGCATTCTGAAACTCCGCACAACTTCGACAGGTTTTTAAGTTTCTGTTTGCAACCGGAGCGCATCTCCACACCGACGGCACCGCGCCCCGTGGAGAAATAGCACAACCAGCCTCTGGTGCGTTGTGTGATACATAGTTTTCGCAATACCGAATTTGTCCACTTTTCGTGAAGCACGCTGTATATATATATATATATATATATATATATATATATATATATATATATATATATATATATACACTTGTAAACTCAAGTAGTCTACAAGGTTTTTGGCTAAACCGAAAGGTGGTTGTGGTGTTTTTTGTTGTGGGCGACGGCCGTCCGTCTCTGCCTTGAAGAAAAGGATGTTTGGTGGTTTTGTGGCGGTTGAAGTTCTGTAAATAAGGAGAGTGGTTGAATAAAATGATCAGCTGAGTTGGAGATGTCGCCTATCCCTGTTACTTTCTCTTCAACCGTAAAATTTTTTTACTCCACCTGCCCCTGTCTTGGGTTAAAAAGCATCATGCATATCAGCTTGGGTGAATTATTAGAAATTTAGGGATCACTTACAATTTTTTCAATTTCAATAGGAAATAGCCTCTATATATGAGGGGGGAGAGAGAGAGCGTTGAAAAGAAAGGAACCTTGGAATATGGGGGCAGCAGCCAGTAACTGTTTGCAGTCACTTTCTAACAAACTCCAAGGTTGCCTTTAAACAACTTCGTTAAAACGCACATTTAAATTTTTGTACTCAGAAATTTAAATGGTAAATTCGGACATTCAAATACACCCAGTTTGAAACCCCATTTTGGAAAACAAAATTACCACAGTTGAGTTCAAGTTTCTTTATCGTAGCAGAAGCACTTGCCTCGACTCATCACTGATCCTCAAATATGAAAGGTTGTACAGATCTTCCCAAAAGGCATGAATGCATCAATGAAGCATCAATCATGCTTTATATACTGGGTGACCCAAGTAGCGGCCAGGCTCTTTAAATCGACCGCAAAAACCAGTTTCTTAACCTATCACGCTCCAATTTTGTACAGCGTTGGCCACAGATGGTGCAAAATTTTTTTTTAATTTTGCAAAGAGCAAATTTATTTGAGGAAAAAGTAAAAAAGAAAAAGGCTTAGCTCCTATGGAAACACAGCGAAGCCACCGGTCTTCAAACAATACAGCGCCGTTTCGCACGGGAAACAAGAGATGGCACAAGCGGTCGCGACGCCAACAGCCGCCAACGAACGAGCATATGGCACCGAGAGCTGGCGTCTTTAGCAGACAATCTTTTCCGACTAAAAAGCGGCGCGAGCTTTTCTGATATCAGTTACCAAAGCATTATTTTATCATCCTTAATAATATAACATATTGAATGGACACATAATCGATAAAAAAAAATAATTTGTCGGGTGATTTTGACTTCTTGTTTCATGGTACTTATGTCATCTGCTTAGCAGTTCCTTGTTGTTACCGCGCCTGTTTTTGGTTCTGCGACTGTCGCCGCTGCGGAACGCGCGCCGCTTTGGAGTCGAAACGATCGTCTGCTAAAGACACTGACTCTTGGCGCTGCATGCTTGTCTCCCGTGCAAAACGGCGCCGTATTGTTTGAAGACCGGTGGCTTCGTTGCGTTTCCATAGGAGCTAAGCCATTTTCTATCTTTACTTTTTCCCCAGGTATATTCGCTCTTTGCTAATTTTACAAAAAAACGTGCACCATCTGTGGCCAATGCTGTACAAAATCGGAACGCGACGGGTTAAAAAACCAATTTTCGCGGTCGATTTAAAGAGCTTGGCCGCTCCATGGGTCACCCAGTATTGTTACTTACCGTAAAGTTCCGAAAGAACGCCCACCCAAAATGAAGAGATAAATGGTAAAAAACATGGGGTGGGCTATCTTTGGGGACGCCACAGCAACACCTTATCAAAAATTAATGATAAATGCCCTGGCACCAATTACAAACCACGTGACATGGGACACTGCAAATTCGCGTTTCTTGGTGCGATAAACACGCGGGAACCCGCTACAAACTTGCCTGTCACGGGAACCGATATCGCACGCGCAGATGCGGATAAAAACGCAGGAATGCACTACAAACTTGTATTGTTTTGGGTACAAACACAGCAGGTCGCAAAAGCAGCAGAATCGTATTTCACGATGCAATATACAAGCCAGACCAAATCGCGTGGAACTGAGATTGTGCGCGCAGATTGCAGTCAAAAACGCAGGAATCCGCTACGAACTTTGTCACGAAATTGGATACCGCAGATTGAGGACAGCAGATTCGCATTTCACAGAGCAACATACGCGCGGGAACAACTCGCGTGTTACGGGAGCCGATATCGTGAGTGCATATTGCGAACGCAGCAGATTCGCATTTCACGGAGCAAAACACATGCGGGAATAACGCGCTTGTTACGGGAGCCGATATCGTGCGAGCAGATCACGGGTAAAAACGCGGGAATCCTCTACAAAATTTATGTCATGGGAGCGGATACTGCAGATTCACATTTCACGGTGCAACATACACGCGGGAACAACTCGCCTGTTACGGGAGCCGATATCGCGCGCGCACATCACTGACAAAAGCGCGGGAACCCGCTATGAACTCGCTTGTCAGGCTGCCTGAACAGCAAACTGTGCGGTTGATGCGATTCCCGTCGGACATTGCGTGACGTCCGATGAAAATTGGAGGGGTGGGCGATGTTTCAAAATTACTGTTACAAATATTTAGCCAAAAAAAAAACAAAAAACGGGATGGGCAATATTTCAGGGTGGGGCGGGTGGGTGGGTGGGGGGGGGGGGGGGGGGGGCGTTTTTTCGGAACTTTACGGCAATCGCGCAAACCTATACTCCGTTTCAAACATAGCGTGCAACGTAGTCAAAGCTAGCGCGCCGGTTTGCACAGCCGACCGCGACTACGTTCGCTCCACAAAATAGTGCGGCCTCTGAAAAAAAAAAAAAGTCGAAAAGTGTACATCTTTGTAGCTAGTAACTAATAGTGGCGTTATGATTTCGAGGGAACACCGATTCTTTTTCAATAAAAAGGAAAAGATAATGTAAACTACTCCAAATTATTTTCCGTTTTCGTTCGTGCGGCACTCGCACTCGCTTCGGGTTTTCAAGTTGTGCGGCTGCCCCTGCCTCGCCGGTTTCGTGAAGATGGCGTCTTACGCGGGAAGCTTTCTTTTCCTGCTCGGATATTTTCGAAGATTCGTTGTGTGAAGATCTCGCAAAAGTGCAAGCAGGTGATCGCCAACGTGTACGCGAGTTCAAGAACGTGTTTCTCGGAGACGTCGGTCCGTGAGGTCCTGGAGACGGTCAGTAACGACACCGGAGTGTCTGGCAAGGTGGCGTCCCCGAAGCGAAGACCTCGCAACGTGAAAGTTCCGAGCACGCGGACAGTATTGTGAACTGCCACCTGTTGTTTCTGGTGTTGAAATCGGCCTTATGGCTTCAAAGTGAAACAAGCGTCAAGAAGGAACTGTGTCGGTGATGAATCGTGCCTACGGCTCCGACTGCTTGCGGGACCTTACAGCAGGCGGTGCCCGTGATTGCATTCCGAAGCGTCTGGGTTCTTCTGCCTGCGGGACCGTAACCATGGTCGGCTCCGTCTGCCTGAGGCACCTAAACCTTGGTCGGCTAAGTAAACGACGCACATGCCCGTGTCTGTATTCCGAGGTCCCTGCTTTCCTCGAAAAGGAAACAACACTCGATCCTGATCTCGAGTGCCGTGTGTTGTGTACGCGTCTATTGTGAATCACCCCCGGTTCATGGGGGCGCCGGCACCAGAGCACCGAGATACTGCCGTCTGGATGACTTCTTCGATACACCGGCGAGTATTCTGACTCTGGAGGAAACTTCCATGAAGTCACATCACGTGAGGGAATGCCAAGCCGTCTGAACGATGGCAGTGCGGTCCCCTAATCACAATATTCGTTATATGATGGACCGTCCACCACACTCTCAAGGTACTCTCTGATTTTCACGCTACCATGTAAATAAACAGCTTTAAATAGAGACGCCCTGGATCTCGACCGTTCTTCCGGTTTGACCAGGCCGGCGCAAGTTCGAGCGGAACGCCAGCCCCTAGTCTACCTTCTTATAAATAAAATCAACAAGAAAAGAGGAATTGAAATATGCGCTTTCGCAATACGCACAATCTTGCACAAAAAATCGGTCGAGAAAAAAAACCCCCAAAAAAAAACCAAAAAAACTTTGCGCCCTAAGTGGATTCGAACCACCGCCACCGAGATGTCGGAATCGCAAGAGCAGCGCCTTGTACCGCTCGTCCACGAAATCTCGCGGAGTAACACAATTTTGTGTTTTTTTTCATGCGCACTACTTCAGTAGCTTTCCCAGCATTGCACGCGATGTTTGAAACGGAGTATAGCTGTCTGATCAGAAAAGCTCTCTCCGATCCCACCCCACCGAAACCCGACTCATTCTCCTCGCCCCCCAAAATGGAGCTTTCCTCAAATGTGTACTTGCAGCAACTTATTAACCAATGGGTGGATGGGTGCATATAGGTGAACCTCTTGAAAGGTGTGGTAGCTTGTGCTATCTGGCCAGTACTTTCAAAAACAACAATTAGCTGATTCCACTGTGTCGGCCGCCGCCTGCCCACCTTTTTCTTGTTGATGAGGATGTTGCCATAGACGAGGATGTCGTTGAAGAGGAAGAACTGCCGCGGCTTCTGCTTCTTGCGGCACATCTTGGTAAGCACACCCTCCCCCACGAGCACGCGGCCATGGGCGGCCAGGGGCTGCGCAATTCCGACGGCAAGAGCACACCTCAGAGAGATCACCGCGTGCACAGAGGCAGACACTCAATGGAAATGGATGAATGGTGGCGACCCCCAACAAAAGCGATCTTCGTTGGTCAAGGCACCTGCTAAATTTTATAGGACTGACAATAGTGGTTCATGGATTGAGCTTAGGCAGGAAGCTTCTCTCCCCTCGAATATTAAGAAGTATCCTACGTAAGCACTACAAAGGTAGACAATTCACGATAGGCAGTAAAGGGCACTCAATGAGGAATCCTTAGGTTGGGCAGGCTAGCGTGTAGATGCTAGGATAACTGGGAAGGCGTGATTGAAAACTACCGTCGGCCTTGAAAACAAATATGACAGGAGGTCAGAAGCCACTGGAAAACACCCACTCTTTCTAAAAACGAGACACACGCAGAAAAATCTATATTCGTTGCGAGAAAGAAACGGTTGCATGGAGCAGAGCCGAGTGATATCTGGGTCACCCAGTTTCCAAAAATTTGTTTTTGGGTGCAATGTTTTTTTCTTTTCTTTTTTTAATAAACAAAAGTACGAAACAGTGGCTGGGCTACTGACCTGACCGGAACTCCCGAAGCAGTTCTCGATGTTGGCAATCCGCTTGGCATTTGCCTTGGTATTAACTGGACGAGATAGAAAAAGAGACTAAAGATATAACTTAAAACGGCATTTAAAACGCGCAAACACGCACACACACACATTTTGGTTGACAGACTTTTGCACGAACCATGAATAGTAGAGAATCACAGTCTTAACCAAATGTTCGACCTTGATATTAGTTTAAACATACAAGGCTGAACGACAACTCAAAATGAAGCTACGGACATCCCAGTTCACAGGCGTTGGGAAGGACGGCAATAATGAACTCTTGGCACGAAATAAACGATTGATTAGTTTGGCGATAGCGTACGCCGTCGTCGCACCATCACAAGTGAATGGCAGATAACATCAGGCAAGGGTGACAAAAACTACGCGCTTCCGAGGTAGAAGTGACTCATGGAGGTGTGAAGCGGAGACGCCTGTTCGGCGAATTCTGGCAAGCGTGCTTTCTTCGCCGCTACGGGCTGGTGATGGCGACTGGATCCGATGACAAATAATCGCAGCTACACCACAGTGAAACGGTAAAACTGTACCGAAAGTCGTACACTTGGGTTTCAAGAACACGGAGATAGCGCCCATTCAGCAAGAGTGCTGTCGAGCAACTTAGACCAGTGCGGGATGTTACTGAACGATCTGTACGTGATAGCTGCGTTGAATACTTTTGTTAGGGATTTCGAAAAAGTTCTTTTGAAGTTACGACGTCTCGAAAAGCACGGAAATAATTTAATAATAGATAAAACGTTGCGTGCTCCGAGTATAGCGGTGGGCGTACTACGAGGCGCGACCCTGCACACTCAACATAAACGGCTCTCAACAAAAATTGTAAGCGATTTAAAATTTTGTCGACGGGTGTAAAAGACAATGTTTCTATTCGAAACGGCTTACCGGCCATTGGATAATGATATTACAAGAATCCCTACGATAAATCCATTTAATACGCGAGAATGCAAAACACGACTCACCTAAGCTGTCAACCATCTTGAAGTTCACATTAATGACGAAGCCTCGAACCCAAGCGTACGTTTGTAACAATGTGCTTTTTATAAAAATCCAAGTACGCTAAAAATGAGTACGTCATCAAATAAAATTTATAAATGACTTTTTGTTGCTTTATTATGATTTTTTTTTCAGTTTTAGTTTGAACAACTGGGGAAAAGCCTTTACACCAGGCGCGCGACTGCAGTGGGGGGTGGCGAGGTGATTGTTTCGGCGAGCTCCCAAAACAGTCAGAAAAAAAGGAACCATGAGAATTTGCGGTCCCAAATTGTCCGTCTGTTGCTCCATACTCAGCGTTTGGGGCATCATCATGCTGGTAAGCTTACTTCTAACTCACTTTCACCTTTGGCGCACCCCTCGGGACGTCTATTAACGGTTAGCTACCGAGGACCGAAGTCATATGACTGATGTCAAGCTGACCATAAAATCACCGATATGTGCCGTTCTTTATCTTATTTTTCAGGTTATTCTTGGCATATTTCTGTTCACGCATAGCGTGGCCTTCGCGGAAGATTTGGCCATCGATGAGAAATTGCCCAAAATTGAATTCTTGACGGAGATCAACCGCAAGTATACGCAAGCGGCGTACAACTGCTGGATCGCGGCTTGCCTTTATGTGGGTAAGTCCAGCGGTGGCAGCCAACAAAAGCGTATCATATCAAATGGTTCCGAAGTATTCTGTTAGTAGACTCAGCTTAACCTTCTTTTTGTGTGTGTGCCCGGGTTGGTACGTTTTCTGTGACTGACGTTTCTCATTTGTTTTACACGTTGTGAATTTTATTTTGAAACCTGGTACCGTAATAACCCGAGAGATAGCCCACCTAAAAGCGAAAGCAAATTGGATGAAAATATTGAGGAGGCTAACTTTCGGTGTGCGATCAAAGAGAGTTTAAATAATGCTAGTATTAGGTTCTGTGACCTGTGAAACTTCTGATTGCATAGAGGGGTGATTAATCAAAGACAACTTACCTTCCCGGTCAGCAATGTTCGCTTATCTGCGGTCGTGGCTAAGTAACACCTTATAGGCACCTTGCAGATCTCAGTGCCGACACTCGCGCCTCTCGCTGCGGCGTCGCGCATACTTATCGGGAAGCGACCTCGGCAGTCGCAGCTCGACTGTAGTGGTACATTGGTGTTTGTTGCAAGGTCGACATGCCTGCTTGGGCCACAGCAGGAGGGCAGGGGACACATGAGTGGTGAAACTGGGCACCGCATGGCGCTCTGCATGATGCACTACCTGGCGGTTTGCGGCGATATTTTTGTATCCAAAACACATGAACATACAAGCCCGTCGTGCAATACACATAATTGCTGGGGCACTGATCGTAAAGCAACTGACAGTACTTTGCTTTAAAACACACTATGCCCAAAACGTAAATTAGTGTTCAGATTAAAAATAAAACCGGCGCAAACATTCTTGTGCTACCATTATATTACCATTACAGTAATAATGTCGAAGAAAACATTAACCACAAAACGTACGTTTGCAACACTAGCAATGCCGTGTTTGCTTTACTTTTCTACCTAATCAAGCTGAGATGAAAAGCTATTGATATCGTTCCAATGAACAATTGTGAAGTCTATATAAACATTCGTTTAGAAATTCAAATGCAAAGTGTCCAACTTCGCTGAGACAACTGGAGGTGCTTGGTGTGTCAGTCGTGAAAAAAACATACTGCGGGACATATACAAACAGAAAAGGCTAGCGCAATTCGCTTGTATGACATGCAACCAGCTTTCGTGAAAACTTGGCGCTTTCGTTCGAAAAAACGCGGAGGTGCTTTATTGACTTTATGCCAAGGAAGTTGCACCGAATGCAGTAATTATCAGGCGTTATGACCGTGACATTGAAATGAGCAGTGACGAAGCGTTATTCGTGAGCATCATACAAAAACACTATGCATGAGAGTAAATACCTACCAACACAGTCAATAATACTAACCCAGCAGAAAAATTCCAAAACACGTTTCTTTGTCTCCTGGCTGCATCGAATGGCTGGCTTGATAAACCTGATGATACCAAAGGTCTATCTGGTACAAAGTGCACTGTGTCAGCATCCTTTCCACACCGCTTGTGTTAACTCCTTCATCGGCTGTGGCACTGACATTCCGCAAGCATGTACCCCACCTTGAACTCAAACCACCAACACCAAACCAATCTCGCTTGGAGTCACACTGCCGCTTGTTGGCACTGTCGTTGTTCGTGAAGGTTCGCCTGTTACTAGTTGAGATAGCGATCTTGCAATACCTTCCATGTCACCCCTGAAAGTTCGAATAACTTTGCAGACGACTAGAGCGTTTGAGACGCACACAGCCCGGAACCCGAACCAAACTGATGAAAATGGGCGCCGCGCGGCAGTCCATTGCTCATGTGTCCCCTGCATGACACATTGGGGCAAGCGCAGCAGCGTGAGCGGCAGCGGAAGCCTGCCGCTTTCCCTACGTGGACTCAAAAGTGGCCACGCGCAGCGCTGTTTTCTGGGGGATCGGTAGCGGCTCTTAGTAGTTGCAGGGTCCGTATTGCCGTGGTCACCATTGGCCTGTGCCCTGCAATTACTAGAAGTAGGCTGTCTTTCGGGGTTTCGGAAAAATACCAAATCCTGCCAAAAATGGGGGTGGGTCGATTATGTGAAAGCGACCAGCGGCATTGGGAGGGTCCTATTAATCGATGTATAAGGCAATACAACACGTGCAACCATAATTTTCCCATGAGATTGTGTCATCAATTCGATCGAGGCACATACTTAGTGTAAAAGCGCAGAAAGCTAAGTTCATGTTAGTTCACAAAACTTGGGCATGTTTCTGTTTTCTTTTCATTAAGTTGAAAATTTGTTGACACAAGGTGCTCTGAAGGTTCCAAAAAGATGACAGATAAATTATAGACAACTAATTCCAATCAGTACTGTGCAAGACAGATTAGAGGACCTGGATTGAGCTTTGTGCGACAAACTGGGTGATTTATTGCATAAACCTGTATGGTGATGCGTGTTTACAGTGTAAACTTCACACTGCACACTTACAGAATGAAAAAAATCTGAAGGAGATCCATCTTTTTTACACAGCAATCTGTTAAAAATGTACGTAGTCAGTGGTTTAAGTTTCAACGCATCTGTTGTAGTATTTTCATGGATATTTAGGAGTCCCATACATGCACACTGGCTGCTGTAGATCAATGAGAAACTTGTCCAAGATGCCACATGTGCCCAAGTTTTGCCACTGATGCTGCATCATTTTGTACATTGCCCTCATGCTCAACGTTCTTCGTCATTTCTTCCCTTGTGTCGTTGCAGTTACGCTGGCTGTGTCCGTGCACCAAATCTACATGAACAGGCGTTGCAACTACTCCGTCTAGCTCCAGGCCAAGACGGAAGCATTCCCCTACTGCAGCCGGCTGTCAGAGATGTTTAGTCTCGTGTTGTTTCCCGTTGTTGCACATACCCCGGATCCGCTCCAGAGCCTAGTCTATGCTGTAAATATGCACAAATAAATATGTACATATTGTGGTTTGGCTAGTAGGTCCTTTCTGTGTGTAGTCGTCGTGGAGCCATAACAAATGCTCTTTGATGCTGTATGATTGGATCACTGGGTATTTTCAGTCACTCTTAAATAAGGTTTCTGTCCCGTGGTGGCATCTAGAACAGTGTCAAAGCAAGCGAGTATGGTCTCCCTCCCCACTAACTGAACCAGTTTCACTATGTCTTCTGCTGCGCACCCATTCGAGCCAGGAACAGGATGTGGTCATCCTAGTGATGTGATGGCTGAGTCAAGCTGGGGGGGAAGGGGGGGGGGGGGGGGGGGTGGGCTACACCAGTTGCCCTGTCAGGCACGTAGCCGGGATTTTGACTTTGGGGGGGGGGGGGGGGACCGCTTATAACAGAATGCTGTATGAGGGGGAGGGGAAAAGAAGGCCCCACCAAAATAAGATTTTTTTTTTGGTGGGGGGGTATGGGTCCCATGCTGCCCCCCCCCCCCCCCCCCCCCTCCCTTCCTGGCTACGTGCCTGGCTGAGACTGCAGTGGAAGCTACGTCCTCGTTGAACCATTCGTTCGCCTCTCATGACGTCATTACACCCATACCCACGCGCAGAGAGCCGGGTCACGTGAAGTGAGGGAGGCGGCTGATTGGTCCAGCGGGCACGTAGCCCCCACCGCAATCTCAGCTTGCAGGTGAATGGAGTATAGGTTTCACTGGGCGATGTGAAGTGTGTGTGTGGGGGGGGGGGGATTAGCACCTACTTCGCAACATTTACATTTTGAATGAATGGAATCATACATCGCTTCAATTGTTGGTTATGTTTTATTTTTCATGTCCCAAACCGTGTATTTTCCGTCGCCGTCGTTTAACCATTTTTTTATTGGGGGAGGAGAGGAGAGGAGGGGACGGAAAGCAGCGATTGCATTGTTTCTTTAGAGATCTATATGCTTTCGGTAAACAATATATATATATTCTCCCTGGCTTCCCGAATGGTTCCGACACCTCTGCCTATATGCTGTGCTACTTTCTCGCGGCTGGAACACTGTCGAATGTTTACGGCAGACCTGCGCAAACGTTTAAAGCTCCACCCTGCGCTCCTAGCGAGCGGGCGGCAGCAGCTGGTTATTGCGGGTTGCAGTTGCGTCACAGCTGTCCACTTGCAGATGACACTCCGCTCTGTAGCCCGAATCTCAACACCACTGTCTCCCATTGCGCAATGCAAGCAATCGTTGCACCTCTTCCGCCGTAACGGCTAATACAGGGCGTTCCAGGTAGCTTGTGCCAAGACCCAAAGGAAGCCGGTGTCGAACCAACGCAGTATTGTACAGGGCCCTACGACCACGTTAAGACATTATTCACGACGAGCCAAACTGGCTAATTAACACAAATTCATTAACTAACCTTTTTTTTTTTTTTTTTTTTTTTTAATATTGAGTTGTGTGTAAATCCTCGAACACAAATGTCGTAGAGCGTGTTGAGAAGCATCCCGTAGTATCATTTTCATCAAAGTAGCCTTTGTGTGTAAACTTCAAAGAGCTTTCAAGAATGCGCGCGCTCTCACCACCCCACTCTGGAGGGGTACTTTTTCCCCAAAACACGCGGCTGCGCTGCGGCGAAGCGAGCTACGAGGATCCGCTAGATCGCGATCCTTATCCTAAGTTACTCGCTTCGCCGCAGCGCAGCCGCGTGCTGGGGGAAAAAAGACTTCACCAGAGCGAGATGGTACACGCGTTCATCAGCCTGTGTTAAAAAAAAAATAAGAATAAGCTCGGTAAATGTTCGTTTGATATAGCTTGCAGTAAATATTTTAAAATAAATCCGCGGTCGGTATATGATATTGAATGTGATATGCCGACGGTTAGTTGGAAGAAGTGAGGTGATTTCTAAATACCTTTTTTAGGTGTAGCTGGGTGGCACTATAGGCTTCATTGTTTACATGTAGGTTTCTAACAGTTCGGTGACATAATCAATAAAAATTAAGACTAAATTTGGAGTGGATGAACTAAGCTTGGGGTTCAGCTGGAGCCTTTTTAAAAAGGCATATTTACACTAAAATACCACTGATGCGCAAAATTAAATTAGCAACGCTTTGTTGTGTCAGCTGAATCGAGAATTGAGCAGTTTTAGTATCACCTTCGGAGCCGTGAACAAAACATTAAAAAAAAAACTATTCTGCTATGCATTAGTTCACCTGGAACACAATATGGCCTACTTTTAATTCCACGCCTAAAATGAAATTACAGCCGCGCAACTGCAAAATGCAAAGAAAAATTATAACAAGAGCACAGGCGTTCGAGTCGCAGTGCCAAAAGTAGTGTTTGGTTCTGCCACTAAGAGGTGGCGCAACATGTCATTCAGGGCTTTCAGAGAGAGCCCAGATTTGAGTGAGGGAGCAGGATGAACCGCTCAAGTTGTTTGGGCCGCGCTGCGCAATGTCTGCCGTGTCTTCTTTTTTTTTTTTTTTTTTTCTTTTTCCTTTGTGGGCCCGCGTGCGTTGTAGAGCGGCAACTGGCGAGGAGGAAACTGGTGGTGAGGCTGGGCAAGACGGAGCAATAGCACATAGGACACAAGGCCTGCTGCCTTTCCTTCCCTGACGTCATCACTAGTGGATCCACTCGGCGACACGGATGCATCTGGCACTTTCCGTAGACTCTCGTCGACCCTCAAAGTGTTTGACTCCTTGCGTCATGCTTGATCCCTTTCCCTTTCTTCAATTTTAGAGCGCAGCTCTTAGGCGTCCGTTTCCGGCTTGAGCGGCGTCGCCGTCGCCGTTGGCGTAACCGCGCGGTGCATTATGGGTAAATTTTCCCGCTAAATCTAGCGGAAAAATTTCACCGCTAAATCTAGCGGAAAAATTTCCCCGCTAAATTTAGCGAAAAAGTTTCCCCGCTAAATCTAGCGGTAAAATTTCCCCGCTAGATTTAGCGGAAAAATTTCCAGGCTAAATCTAGCAGAAAAATTTCTCTGGGGGGTCACGTGCTCCCCCCTCGAAGTCATGTGAACCCCCTCCCCGAGGCCACGTGGGGGGCCACGTGACGTCGGGGATTGCAGTTGCCACCCCCCCTCTCCCGAGGTCACGTGACCCCAAGGTCGTGACCTCGGGGAGGGGGTCCCGGGACCCCCCCCCCCCTCCCCCCAAGAACACGTGGCCCTCAGTACCCTTCCCTCCTCCTCCTCCTCAAGAGCCGCGCTCCAATTCGGCGTTACAGGGAGTTGTAAACTGCTTTCACTTTTTTAAACTACTTCAATGAGATTTTTCAGGCACACCCATCACGCGGTTTGCTACGTTTATTTATTTTATTTATTTATTTACAAAGTACCTACACCTAAGTCGCCCTGTGGGCATTATTAGGAAGCTTTTGTAGACCGCCTTTCCTTCTCTGATGAGCCCCCCGCAACGATGGAGCCGCTACTGCGCCTGCGCGCCGATGGCCTTGGCTGTAGAGTTCCGGGTATCGTAGTTGGTTGCGGAGAGCCGTTGCGGGATGGCGAAAACGGTCTACGAAAACTCTCTATTGTAGGGGGGTCGTTATCGTAAATTGACGTAATCTCCTCTAGAAGGTCGTTCTACTCGATCGCTGTTTTAACAAAGAATGAATTGGCAAAACTGTCAGTTTTATAACTGGGTACAGCAACCCTTTTAGGGGTTGCTGTCCGTCTGCCGTCCGCTGTGGCCCTGCTCGTGAGCTCACGAGCTCCTGCTCGTGAGTTCAGCAGCGAGAGCAAGAAAAAAAAAAAAAAAGAAAAAAAAGTCCGGCGTGGCCCTGCTCGTAAGTTTAGCAGCGAGAGCAGGAAAAAAAAAAAAAAATGAAAAAAGATGAAAAAAAGAAAAAGAAGAAAAAAAAAATAGGGGGCTCTGAGATGCTATGCCATCTGTCTACTTAAAAAAAAGAAGAAAACCACACATTCTTCTACCGACATGAATGAAACCGGCACCATCAGCACTACCTATGACCAAAATCAGTATCACAGCACCACCCGAGCTTCGCCCCAATCAACATCATTTGCCACGTGGAGATGCGGTAATCTTTCTTTCTTTTTTTTTTTAATGATCGCGACGGGGGTGGACGTGGGCTGTCCGTCGCTATGTTTATTCTTTCTGTTTTTATTTTATCGAACCCTCTTTTTTTTATGGATACACAATTGGAAGAATTTTAATCTTTTGAGCATAGTTGTAAACCCGAGACTGGGGATACGGACAAGGGACAAACACAGAACGACACGGACGAAGTCTCAAACGCAGCTACAAACTTAATTTCACTGGACAAACATATATGTCACTCTCCAGTGTCGCCACCCTTTGTCCCCCTCTTTTTCCCTTCCTTTTCCCCAAACCCCTACCCCTTCCCTCTTGCTTTTCCAGTCAAAAAATAAGCTGAGACGGCGCCCAATCAAAGTTGCCGACAGGTCCCCTATCAACACACATACACCGCGACATCCCGAGGTCACTCCTGTTCTCCAAAACCAGCCGGAAAGCCGCCTTACAGGTCCCCTGTCAACACGCACACATAGCGACATCCCGAGGTCATCCCGGTTCTCTCAAACCAGTCAGCCGGAAAAATGCTTCGGCTGAATGACTGATGCACTCGGCAGACGTATTTATCCCAATGGTCTTTCTCACTAATCTTTTCATGTCGTTATTTTCCCTTTCTACAATCTATAAGTCTCCCCAGGCTGGAGAGCAGTCGGCACATTCATTCAAATGTATGGCAATTTCTGAATTCGGATCTTCGTTTTTTTACATTTCTTTTATGTTCTGTTAATCTATCAATCACACATCTTTTGGTTTGACCTACATAAATGACACCACATTTCATTGTTATCTCGTACACTACACCGAACTCGTATACTGTACTCTCTGTGCGCCTTTTTACACTGGTTGGGTGTTCTCAAAAATGGGGTCAACCGGTCCAATCTAAAACCCCTCTCAAAAACTACGTCGGCGCCGAACTTCTTTGCGCACGCCTTTAGGTTGTGTGAGATGACATGGTTAGCTGCGTTGGAGACTTCGTCCGTGTCGTTCTGTGTTT